ATATAAATATATACAAACACACCCACACACACACACACACACACACACGTATATGTGTGTGCGTGTGTGTGTGTGTGTGTGTGTGTGTGTACACCATACTACTCACAAAGCAAATAACTATACATTATAGAACATGTAAGAACGGAAAATTCGGGCATTTACACGTTGAACATAGTGAAAGGCACTGTAGGAGTATTCAAATGGAAATGACCATCGGAAGGACTGACATCATCGTTTTTCCTAACGCGTCCATAAATGGCAATGGAGGAAAGAGTCAGAGATTTGCGTTTTCAAGCAGGATGTGTAGTCACTATTTTTGAAGTTTGTCACCTCAAAACAAAAATATGTAAGTTGTTGGCACACTCTACAGAGCTTTTGTAGCTTCACTGACACATTAAAAAAAGAAAAAAAAAACATTTATTGCAGCGCAAAGAGAAAGTCACACACACCAGAGTGTGTGAGTGCAGGAGGTCCCTAAATGTAATCGTTAACTTTATAAACAAGTATAAATGTTGAGTTTTGCCACAACACCATGAATAGGTACATGTGTCAAGGCAAAAAAATATTTTTAATTTTATTTAAAATATATTTATATTAGGTGAAGTCTACAAAGACTTCATTCATTCTTGAATTAAAAATGAGTAGCGCATTTATGTTAAGTGAAATCCATAAAACACTTTTTTTATTACAATAATTGTGAAACGTCAAACAGACATTTTTATTTTTTTGTAAAAACAAACTTTATTCTGAAATATCACTGTTAAAAATGCACTTGCAATTAAGTGGCAAAACCAGGTACCATTTTATGTTCAGCAGGGTTGTCTGTATCCGCTGAATGTAACTATTAAAGTAACATTTGTAACTTTTAAATTCAAGCAATTGGTAAAGTAACTCAGTCAGAGGTCAGTAAAGTGACTAAATGACTCTGGTAAGGTAACTGTGGCAACACTCATGATGCTGCTTGCTCCCCAATATTCTTTTAACAAACCTCCGAGACCATCACAGAGCAGATGCTTTTATACTGAGACTAGATTACACATAGGTAGACTCTGTTAATCATCATTAGACAATTAGGTCAATGTTTGATCATTCCAAAATCATCAGGGGTTAGTTGGCTGCACTGACATTAAAGGGGCTTGCCACACTTTTCATTTATTTTATTTTTTTTTTACCTCCCAAAAATTCTTGAACAATAATGGATAGCAATTTCCACGCAGATATGGGGATTTGCACAGCAAAAAAAAAAAAAAAAAAAAATGTTGCATAGTAAGTTCCTTTGCAACATATCTTTGTTCACATCCAAGAATTACAACATCTGTAGGAGGAAGTAATTCTGAAACGTTCACATTCATACTGTATTTGGTCACACCTTTAAGATGAAAAGCCAACAGACAAGTGCTGGTCTGTCTGTCTGTCTGTTCGAAGTCCACTTAAATGTGCAAAATCAAAGCGTCACTCACTCTCTATCCTGGACCATGCTTTTGTCAAAGCGACCGTGACTTGACAAGTGATCCGCATTCGCGTCAATGGGGCGTTGTCCATGATGCTCAGCGTTCTCGTGAGAGTGGACACACAGAAGACAGGAGGTGAAGAATAGGAGGAGACTATGATGTCTCATTCTGCTCCAAGGGACACATGGAGAGACAAAAGTTACATGAAAGATCAATGTGTTACGGCATAGTGTTGCAATTTGACACTCATGTAAATAAAACCTTCAGGAAATGATCTTCTCGTTATATAACGCATTGATTTCCAACCATGGTCTTGCAGCATATCATTGTGCTGTGTTTGTTGATCTATCCATGCCATCGACCTATTGTAACAGGCGTTTATGCTCTTCCATGAGATGGAAGAAGGTGCAATCCTTTCTTTGTACCCACCTGTTACCAAAGCTTTAGTCAACACAGGCCCAAATTTCACACTGCTGAATACATTAAATGTGTGGGTACATTGAGATCAGATCACCATTATTCCTAGTATCTATACTTTTTATGACGTTTTTTGTGAAGTGATATGTCGTGACCATTTTTTTAATCTGACTTGGTTTGAATGGCTTGGGAAACATTGAACTAATTGAATTAACAAAACTCAATCGTATTACACGCCGTAAATAGTAGCTGTGTACCATGAAGAATTTAAGGACTTCAACACTGGAAACCTTCAGCACAAGGAATATATATAGCGCGTTTGCAGTCATTTGCTGTCCCACGCACATAAAATTACGAAATTATATTGATTGCAATGACGTTACCTCAAAGTCGACTGTTGCACAGCAGCTAGCGCGGATCTTAACGTTTGCGATGAGTTCGGTGTATCGCAGAAATTGGTGGCGCGGAATGAGTTTTCAATCAATTATCATCACACGGCTGCACATATTCTAACTTATATCACCTGAATCAAAGTTGCGTGATCAGGTTTCGCGGATCGCTGGTAAAGACTGACTGAACAAAGCTTTGACAGAGCAAGCCGCTTGCCGTAGTACCACTTGTACACGACATCGGATTTTGATTGGTTGTTGTTGGCAAAGACGACGGAAGTCAAGCAAGATAGTTACCACCATCGGCTTTCGTTCGCTTTTTGGCAATACATACCTGGATACCAAATCAAACCATCAGTCAGACAAGTCTGCAGTACTGTTAAATACTGAAGAGTAGATATTGCCGATTATTTCATTCTGTTGCACAAATGAGCACCATTAGTTCGACAAAACACGACTCGATTTCAAGTTCACTATCAATGATTGCGTGACAAAAATTGGCTTCTGTTCGCGTCTGATAAAACTAAAAAACTAAAAATAAATAAAACAAAAAATGTAAACACAATGTGATTAAACCACAAAACACGTATGATTTGTTTTACAAACTCATCCGTTTAGTAAATACTAAAGAGACTTTCTTGGCAAACTATCATTATCATGGTCTGTTTGGGACTTTATTTGCGCGATCCGTATTTGTCCATCATGGTGGAGGTCCACATTGGGAGGATGAGAGGATAAACTTTTAACATATGATTGTGTAATTGAGTTAAAAATACTTTTACTAGTCTACAGACTACTACATCCACATATATACATATGTGTTTGTTTGTTTGTTTGTTTTTTTTACACAAAGAATATCAACATCTCATTCAGTGTTTTGGAATCAAAAACCTTTTTGTACATCGATCACGTTTAACTGCAGAAGAACGCATAAAAACAATAAATCTTAGATTGTATGTACAGGTGCCTTTGGTAAATCACAGAATACGCCCAGAAATTTTGTAACAAATCAGTTCTAACTTTCGTGAAACTGGTATAGAGAAAGACGACATAGTACTGTAGTTGGATGGCTGGATGGGTGGATGGACGGATGGTTAGATGGAGAAGGCACTCCATTTTGTTGTAACAGTCTCCCCTTGTCAAGGAAGTCTTGTGGGATTTCTTTTTTTGGGGGGGGGGGCAATTTTTGCCCCTTTGAACATTTTTACTGTGGAAACTTTACCCTGTTCATTTTAAAAGACATCTGACAAAAGTTGATAAGGCCGTGAGAGTCATATATTTTTTCATTTTTGTAATGTTACATTATTATTATGGTTTAACAACTCTTGTTTGTTTGTTTTGTTTTTTTTTTATCCAAATTGGGCATTGTGAAATATTATGCCTTCATAAAATGCAGGTGACCTTTCACCACCACAAAACTCCTCCTAGTTGCCTACTCCCACTTTTGTATTTTGGACTTTCAGTGACAGTCGGACTGACTGCTTAGTGTAGAGAAAGAAAATTGTGGCATATTACAGCAATAAGGCCCCAAACTTTGATTGAAATAATGAATAATAGTAATCTTCTTGTGAACGTGGAGAAGTGGATAGCAGAGAACCAAAATTCGTTTCTGCCACCAGTCTGCAACAAGCTAATGTGAGTAAGCTGCGTTACATTCATTTATTAACAATATTGTTTCGTATGTGCCAACAGAAATGAGATTTCAGAGTTGCAATCATGAAGAAAAAGAATAAAATCACACCAGGTCACTAGATTTGAGCCGCTACTGTTTGTTTAAAGATTTTTTTTTTTTTTTTAATCTCATTCAGGCACTTTTCCCAGTTAAACATTATGTTTGTTGGAGGACCAAATACCAGGAAGGATTACCATATAGAAGAAGGGGAGGAGGTATTTACAATCATTATCACAATATTCTGGACATATTTGCAAATAACACAACCATGCATGACTTAGGTATTACTGCTTCCATTAGTTTCTGGTCTTTTAGTTATAATAAGATAAGATAAGATAAGAAATGATAATTAGCAGAGTAACAGTGTTACTCAGAGCGATGTTTGCAGATGGTCGACGATCACATCCTCTTCTTTTGGAATGCTTCATTAGTATTCCAGACAAATAACAGTTTCATCATGTATGACTGGAGTTGATCAGGTAGGCTTTTGTTTTTTTTTTTAACAATTCAGAATTGTTTAACTATGATTTCTAACAAGAATTCTCCAGGACCTCCCAAATGGGTAGAAGCAGCTGTGGCTCAAGACAAACTGTGGCAGGGTTTACTTTCTGGACCTGGATATTGTTTGCATTTTGGTCATTGATATGTAGCACACACTATTATTTACACATGATATGGAAGTTATACTAGTTGTGGCAATATTGTATATTGTATATTCCCAACAGCTCTTCTATCAGGTGAAGGGGGACATGTGTCTGAAGGTGATTGAAAATGGCAAGTCCAAGGATGTTCACATCAAGGAGGGAGAGGTGAGTTGAAATGGAGAACAATGCATAAAGAGCAACTAATCAAATGGTGTTATTATAAATAGGGGCCTTTCTGTGCATACATAGGTTCTCTCTGGGTCCCACAGCTACCAAAAAAAAAAAAAAAGTAAAAACATCGTCCACAATGGAAGTGACGGTGGATGGTTGTTTATCTGCAATGCAGTATGTGACCACCCTGATATTGACAGTTGATCAGTACAGTGCATGCCCTGAGTTGGCTTGAATGGGCTCACATTTCCATTCATAAACCGTTGTGTAGGGTCAATCCACTGGACCCAAACAATGAAGCTTAGCATTAACAAGCTGTACTGCGGTACAGTTAGAGAGCAGCAGAGTCAGTTCCACAACTGGGCAACTCATGACAAGCAAGCTTTTCCATGGGAAATTCCAGATGTGATCCATTTTCTAAACTGGCGTTGACATCAGCCAAAAGGCGGCCTCCAACCTGGATTGATCATCAGGCAGTCACAAAGCACAGACAGCCATTCACACTCACGCTCACACCTTCACTGAGTGGAACCTAAACCCAAGTTGTCTCGATAGAACTGAGGAAATCTGCTACATCAATAAATAAATCCAATTTAAATGTTCTGACAAAAAAATATATTCACTTATATGCAGACCTGCAATAGTTGGAATATTCATTTTATGCTGGTAAAATACAATAACTCACTGACTCAGTCTGAACATGTTCAACAAAAAGATAACTGAGTCTGGACACGCTGAAGGCATGGAAAATTTTATTTATTTATTTAAATTTGGCTTTTATCATGTGCCCTTGACTGAGATGGGGCATCACGATGGTCTGTAGTGTAGCAGTTAAATTCACAGCCCTCCCCTGAAATCGTCTTTTCCATTTTCAGATGTTTCTGCTGCCTGCTCGGGTCCCCCACTCCCCACAGAGACAGGCCAACACAGTGGGACTCGTGGTAGAGAGGAAACGGCTGCCGACTGAGACCGACTGCCTCAGGTGATGTAATGAGCCTATTTGGAAAAGGATGGCAAATGAAAACGACAAAGACAGAATGGAGATTTCCAAGCATTTTGTATTGAATGATTTTGTTTTGCCATGATGCAAAAATGCATGTCGATTTATCTGGTTCAAAGTCATCTCGTAGACACAATCATGTGCTGGTGCCTTCAGGTACTACGTTGACAACACAACTGACATCCTGTTTGAGAAATGGTTCTACTGTGAAGATCTTGGAACTCAACTGGTGCCAATAATCCGAGAGTAGGGGAAAAAAAAGCTTATTTTATGATTGCCCGCTCTGCGCTGCATTTCAACCAAACTTCCTTCCATGATCAGGTTCATGGCATCAACTCAGTACAAGACAGGAAAACCCGATCCGAGTGAGTTGCCGTTTCAGATCTGCAATTGTTTAGCCTTTTGAGAATTCTGTTATCATCATTATTTTGCGGGAGAACAGGCGAAGTCTTCGCAGAGCCTCCATTCCAGATGAACAACATGAATGTGATGTCGCCCTTCTGCTTTAAGTCCTGGCTGGAAAAACAAAAGCCATTCCTTGCCAATGGCAACCCCATTGATGTGTTTGGAGCTCAGTTTGAGACCGAGGTACAATGTTGTCACCTCATCGGCCATAAATGCAACCTTTCATTCCAATAAACAAACCTGAATATCTGGATAACATCAATAACATACACTCACTTGCCACATTAGCTACCCCTTGTTATATCGAATATATGATGACATACAAGAAAGATTTTGAATGACGGTGTCAAAGAGGTGCCAGCAATTGTACAATATGAAACACCAACACGAAATAATGCAGCTACGTGTGACCCTGACAGGCAACTATGTTTGGACCCGGTTTGTCTGACGCATCCTTACCACAAAGTGATGTATGGATTTGGCAACTGGTAAGTTCTCAAAATATGTTGCTTATTGCATAGCTTCATGCTCTTGTGCACCAGTCAAGACCAAAATTATTCATACCATTGCCACATTTGGAATTAAAGCAGAATTATAATACAATACAGTAACTTTGTACATCATGGAATTACAATCAAAATTCAAAAGGCCTGTCTTGGAAAAATTATTTGGATAATTTTAGACATGGAACTGTATGTATGAATGCACAAACATGAAAATCACTTCAAACCATAGATTACAATCTTTTTTTTCACTCTCTTGTGCCATTTGCAACAAAAACAAAACCCACATTCACTTAACACAATTTTACCATAAGTCAAAATTGTATCGCTCATTCTGCTTTTTACCATCAGGAGGGATCGTCAGTGGTGACCATGAATGAACGGGAGTTTCATCTCTCTGCTGGAGACAGTTTACTCATTCCCGAGCACACCGAGTCAGTACACCCTATTATTTGCAATGTTCATTCTTATTTAGAGCATTCATTAAATTTCACATGTATGATTTCAGTGGTTATGATTTTTAATACAGTATGTTTTCATATCTACTGCTGTAGGTACCAGTGGAAGAGAGATGAGGAGACTGTTGCGCTGGTTGTGGTTCAAAACCCTGAGCGTAAAAGACCCTGATCAGACCTGCCGACGACACTCTCAACGTAAACTGCAAATTGCAAAATTAAATATAAATAAATAAAGAAATAAACTCAATAGACGTAGACACGAGACATGTGAAACTTTCGGGATTAGTTGTATTATTGCATAATTTGCTCATAAAATATAATCGGAGCTTCGTCTGTTGAATCGCTACAATGAACAAATGTCGGATTAAACGAACATAACACAAACAATCGTATGATTCCATGTGCTTTTTGTACACACCACGTCACATTCACAGTGCGGGGTGGAAAAAGTACAGTATGTGAACCTCGGCCACTGACTAATCTGTGTCAGGAGTCAGCGATGGCTGGCGTATCCCGATGGATCCCATGCGTTGCACTATTCAAGGTTAGGCGATACAAATTTTACCGTAGTGTGTAATTTTCTTCCGCAGTATACAAATTTGTCCCCAAATAACCTAAAAATGTATATAGTGTTGGTCAATATACTGTAAATGTCCCAGTTAGATTTCAACACTTTTTGAGTGGTGAAAAAGTATTTATACATCATGTACAAAAAGCTTAATGCTGCCTAATATTGGAAAACTGCCATCAAGGATCACCCAAATTTATGTTGACGTCTCCAATTATGCTCACTTCAACCTCTGAAAATATTAAAAGCCCCAATATTTCTGATTTTATGGACAATAGGCACTCACTAGAGTAAGCTTATGTCACTCGAAGAGAAAAATGCTTCATCCATAAAATCTAGAATGGGCATAATGTCCACGATACATTTTAAAATGACAATTGAATGCATTTTTTTTTTTACATTAAGTAAGGTAAGCGTTCTTACACTCTTCAGCATGTTAGACTGTCCCGTTTGCTTGTCTACCACAGTATCCTTTATTATTTACAAAGATGTACAAATTTTATTGATATGTCACATGACACAGTGACACACAAAAAAAAAACTCATCGGTTCACTTTGAAAAAAAAAGTGCGTGATTTTTGCATGCCAACATTGTCATATTTGTCGCATACAGGTCTGTGCATCTAAAATATTTTTCAGTAAGGCCCTAATAGGCCGCTGCAGATAAGACTCAAACAAAATCACACCTTTGTTTCCGTACACTTTTAATGTCTTCGAGACAAACAGCTCAACAGAAGTATTTTTTAACACAAAAGTAGCTACTGTACTATGACAAAGCAAAACTTAAATTGAATTAGATCTATATTTTTTTCATATATACCGGTCAGCATCTCAGTGTTCAAACAATCAGTTTCAAAATGTACAATTCATATAATAGTTATGTAACAAATTCAACCAGCACATTTCTTTCTTGCATTGGGTTATTGGCTGAGAATGCTGGAAATGACCTAAGATTAGATGTCCTTTCAAATCTCAACAGAAGATTTTGTTATGATATCCATCCATCCATTTTCAGATCCGCTTATCCTCACAAGGGCCGTGCTGGAGCCTGTCCCAGCCGTGTCCGGGGCAGTAGGCGGGGGACACCCTGAACGGGTTGCCAACCAATCGCAGGGCACACACAGACGAACAACCATTCGCGCTCACACTCACACCTAGGGACAATTTAAAGTGTTCCATTAACCTACCACGCATGTTTTTGGAATGTGGGAGCTCTAGGACACTGGAGTACCCGGAGAAAACCCACGCAGGCATGGGGAGAACATGCAAACTCCACACAGGAAGGCCAGAGCCGGAATCGAACCCTGAACCTCTGCACTGTGAGGCCGACACGCTAACCAGTCGACCACCGGGCCACCCTTGTTCTGATACTGTATAGAATAACATTAACATAAATTATACTAGATTTTAATAATGAGAAGCCAATCACACATAGAAAATTAGTCCAGCATAAAGGTTTGTAAAAACAATGGGAAAAAAAACATTTCATAAACTTGCTTTGGTGTGGTTTGTTTCAAAATGTGTGAAATAATTCGTGATAGCAGCAGTTGGAAACTCATTTTTCCAGATGATAACAATAGAGGTTCACTTGCACATTCTTACCCTCAGAGTGTTTTTGATCACATGCTGCTCTGCGATAAAAGCTGCAACCGCCCAAGGTAGCGAATACTCCAGAGTCACCACTCCACCCAGATTGTATTTATAACCTGAGTAGTCCCAAGGACAAGCCCCCAGCAGCCTGAGCCCACTGCCCCAGCTGAACTCCCACAGGTAGATGAAGAGTGTATAGGTTATCAGACGCACAGAAAGTGGTTGGCGATGAGTCAGCAGCCATCCTCTCAGACTCTCCATGAGGTAGATCGCAGTGGCGTACATTGGCAGCGCCCAAAGGCTGCTGTATCCCATCATCCTCCTGTCCTGGATGCTGCACCAGTCCAACACAGCGGTGAAAGTCACCTCACAGAGGCAGCCGTGCAATGCATAGACATAGAGGCGAGCCAAAACGGGGAGGGAGCGCGTGGAGACACTCCCACTAAACTCTGATGGGTCATCACTTCCAACATGTCCTGCTACCAAGAAAATATTGTTAGTGCAACTTAGGTTGGGGTGCGGCAAAACAGAAATTTTTAAAAAATGAAAAAAAGAACACAAAACAAAACAGTAATTAAAAGTGAGGTTGAATACTGCATAAAAAAGGGAAACCCATTGTTCTTGCTCATAGAACAAATATGCTATTGTGTTTTGTTTGTTGACAAAAACGTCCATTCATTGCCTTCTACTGCCTTGTTCTTGTCAGAGTGCACACTGCTGATTGCAGAAAATGCAGCTAGTCACAGTATGGCCAGACAAACAAACTCAAATACTGTACGAAGTTGCATCATTTTATTTCACTTTTGTTAACTTCTCAACTTTGGAGGAGGTCTCCCACTGAGTCCCCACTGCAGACACAAATGTAAAAAATGGCAGCTAGTTGTTGAAGAAATGCTTGTCTGCTAGGTTGCTTCTGTCCAGGTGCCCTTAAGCAAGGCATTGTCCCGACTACCCCATGTCAAGTAGTGTAGCACCCTTTAGGGCTTGCAAATTACCTGTATAAATGCCCTATGCGCATGCCAATCTCATCACTTTTGCCCCAGCGAGCCAATGTCTGCTTTCCGAATGTTAAGCATGTGTGCGCTTTCACTGCACTGATTTTAATGCCAATGAGGGAACCCGCTATGTTGGCCCGAATTTGACTACGTTCCATCACATAACAGCACACAACAGCGCAAAAGCCCCGTTACACACTAATTCTACCTGTGCAAAGTCTCGGAAAATACCAAATGAAAGAAAACTCCACCCATGCGAACAGTTAAACTGAGCTTTGCGCTACATTTGCGCTGGGAACGAAAACAGGGCCTTGAATCTCTCCCTGCATGTGTGATCTGGTTGTGACAGTGGTGTACAAAACAAAATATACGTTGGAGTGTTAGATTAATTTCCCGTTGTGGCACTATATTGAGTATTAACATAGGACAGTTGGATACCAGAAATGTCTCCTTCGAACTGACCAAATTCAATTGCAATGGCAGTTAAAAGTACTCTCTTGTCTCCTTTTCAGGAATGGAAAATGATAGGGAGGCATTGTTTTAATAATTTCATGTCACTTGGACTGCCCATCCACTTCCACTCTCCCAAATTTTCGATGTTATTGTCGTTACGCTATACACACATTCCAATAGCTGCAGCTCAAGGACTGACCGTCTTGTGTGTCTTATCTAATTAGGATTAATGAGACAGTAGGTCATCTTAGCAGATCAAAGACTTGCGCACTCGCATTGAGAAATCAATACCAAAACAAATTAGGCATATTTCATTGCATCTACAGTACATTGCGTTTCCTTGCCACAAAGTTAACTACAATACGATGACTGACGCTCCGTCACTTAATTTTGCCAGTGGCAATGAATGCTACATCAAGTCACCAAGTGTGAACATGGGCAGTCATTCAACATGAGTTAACGTGCCATTAACAGCCATAACTCTCACCTGAGTGGCCGCCGCCTTGTGCCTTCCTCTCATGTAGTATTCTCGCCTCCATCCTCAGACAGCATGTGTTTCCCCTGTGACTTTTTAATCCCTAGCGTGTGTGTGTGTGTGTGTGTGTGTGTGTGTGTGTCTGTGTGTGTGTGTCTGTGTGTGTGTGTGTGTGTGTGTGTGTGTATTTTGAGCTAAACATTAAGCTGATCCATGTTAGACAGAGAAGTGCCCATCCCGGGCTGAGATCGAGAACAGATGGATCGACTTAGCAAAGCAAACCTGGACCTCTTGATAAAAATTGTGTGGCCCAAATGCCAATATCGATTGCAAAGTTGCTCATGTGAATGTTCGCTTTCACAACTTGAGCAAATGTGCCCATCCTTGTATTGATGTGTGCTGTAAACCAAACACACAGTCATGTACTGTGTATTGTGCAGAAGCTCCATCGAGTACAATCAGTGTGCCATTATCGGGTCAGTTTCAACTGAACAATAGACCCTTAGAAGCTCGACGTGCCAGTCAAGTGAATGAAAGTTAACAATTCCCACTCCACGCTGTTAATTTTACCGAATGAGCAATTAAAATGGCTTTATAAATTGGTCTACCATAGCCCTATTTACTACAAAACACACTCCAGATCGATAGCCATCAAGCTAAATGCGACATTTCCGTGAAAGAGTCACTTCGACACAAATGAAAGTAATGTCGAACACAGGTTGTGTAGTATAATTCCATGCGTATAATGTTGCCATGTGAGCCAGTGCCAATTTAGGATGTTTATTTAGTGTGACCACCGAAAACCAGTTTGAAGAATGATAGCCCTCCAGATCAGAGTCCAGGGAGTCAGTAAACATGCACGTGGAAGGAGAATATGCCACTACATCAGAGTCAATGACCATAAAGTTATCAAGCTGTCAACGGTTGGATGCTTGATACAAAAGTTGGTTTGGGAGATTAGCTGTCTTCTCGTGGGGAAAGTCCTCATTTGGATACCAATTGTAATATGAATGTCAAAATAACTTCAAATAACTAATAACATTTAGTCATCTGTGATAGGCTCCGGCTACCAGTGACCCTGAACATTATGAATTTATTGTTTTATTGTTTGTTGTATGAACTATTTTTGCTCCATGTACAGCACTTTGTATACAGCGGTGGTTGTTTTAAAGTGCTCTATAAATACAGATGAGTGGAGTTGAGTTGAAATGAGTTGAACAGTTTAGAAAACGGTCACTGCATGGTAGGATTTTACTGTTAGCAGAGTTCATAATACCTCAGATAACATTTATTCAACACACTGATTACTGTGTGAAGCACTCATTTCCAAAAGGAAAGAAAATTTTGAAAAGATAGCTCTTGCCATGACATTCAGTGTGTACAGACTGTAAATTTTTGTTAAACATGTTTGGATCAATCTTTTACTGTTACCATGCCAAACAAGTGTTTTCCTGCACATCGGTTAATGTATTTTCGGTTTATTATAACATTTGCCAATTCCTATAGCATCAGAAGTAGAGATCCCCTTTGCCTCAGTACCAGTGATGATTGTAAGTACATGTAATCAATTTTCGTCCCTATGTTAAGTCTAGCCAAAGCGCAGCCTAACTGTACGCATGGGTGGAATTTACTTTGTTTTGGTATTTTTGTAAATGGGTGCTGTTACAAAGGGGAGTTTGCACTATTGTGGGAGTGAACACAGCCGACTTGCTTCCCGGACAATGGAAGCAGCTCATCTCCTTCCCTTTGAATTCAGCGCAGGAGGGACTCACACACACAAATTACGTGGTTGGAGTCCATGCAGGAGATTGACCTGTGCAAAGTACATTCATAGGAAATGTAAGCTCTCCATTTGCAGATGATGGAAAGGTGGCCAAGGTGATGACAGATCACCTCTGTGAAGTCCACACTTGGAGACCCTCTACCATTTGTTCGTGTCCATGTGTGGCTCCCTCTAGTGTTCAGGAGGGAAATTATGGATGGGGGTTTCTTACCCAACAGGAGGTCGTACCGCACTCTACCCTATATGTTTGCTATTAAATATGTTAGCTGTACTGTCATACAACATTACGGAGCGGGAGGTGCTATATACATGATTAATTAGCTGTATTGACTCAGTAGCATCAGACTTTTTCTAAACTATAGTAAAATATGTGCAAACCAATTTACAGCAACTATTAAAATGCTCACTTCAGTCAAGCGAGCTACATCTACCCCTTAAAAGCAGGCTCTGTCAAGCCCCTTCCAAAAAAAAATTCTCTTTGTGCTTGTCTTAGTAGATCTCAATACAGCATTTGATACAATTGATCACAATATAGTGTTGACCAGGTTGGAAACTTGGATACTTGGAGCAAAGGAGTTACTTTGTGACCATTCAAGTTTTGAATCAGATCGAATGACAATGACATGTGAGGTGGCTCAAGGGTCAGTCCTTGGACCCCTTCTGTTCAGTCTTTTTATGTGACCTTTGGGTCAAATGCTTCACATGTTTTAAGGTTGGTTATTACAGTTATGCAGATGACACACAGCTATATCTCTCAATGTCCCCAAATGACAGCAGTTTAATCAAAGTACTGTACTGTGTAACTGTCTATAGATCAAATGCACAAATGGATGAACCAACATTTCCCTCAGCTATACCAAAACAAAACTGAGGTAATTGTTTCTGCAATAAAGAAAAGATGATTGCATCTGAAGTCACTGTCTTTAGAAACCAAAGACCAAGTTTGAAATGCTAGACTCAGACCTGACAAGTACAAATAATTTGCACAAATTTTGCAAGACATTCGGTTAAAGTCACTGTCCGCACAGCAACAGCACTTGTGGCTCTCTGCCACGATTTTTGCGACGACAAGTTCCTTTTTTCACATCTACAAGGAATTTTTTGCAACAACTACATCATTATCTTCTACAACTACAATGTTTTTTTTTTTGTTGCTCCAACTAGAAACATGATTGTCTACAACTAAGTTTTCTTTGGTACATCGAAAAATTACCCTTGCCAAAACTACAATTTTATTTATTTACTCTTATACAACTACAAGTTACTTTTGCACATGATATACCTCAAACTACATGTTAGTTTGGCTACAACTACAAGTTTGTTTTCTATTGGTAGAAGTTACATTTGCATCACTGATCTTGATATTAAGCAAACCATCTTATGGCTGCCCGATTGTTTCATAGATATGGGGGTGGAGGGGTGGGGGAAGGGGGGTCCTCTGTTATTCGTTGAAAAAAAACCCACCCCTATTTGTGCAATATAAAAACCTTACTGTAGTGCTACCTGGTGGCAACTTTTTGTCAAGCAACTACAGTATATTGAAACGGAGTTCAGGAGATTCATTTATTCAAGGCATCGCGTTGCCCCCCCCCCCCAAAAAAAAAATAAAAACGTTATTTGCTGCTATCTTGTGCCATCTACAGGCAATTACAGTACAAACCTTTTTGGGTGAGCGTAAATTACTCATTGAATGCCGCAGCTCACCTGCGTGAGAAAAATAAGGGAAAAAATACGTAAACAGATTAAACTAATACTTCATTCGATTTAAATGTCAATCAACCAACTCTATTACTTTCTCTTCCCCAATTTGATACTTTTTTTTTTTTTAAAAAAACATTTAAAAATTAAAACCCCGATGTTGGGATGTGCAAAACGTTGATAACAGACTATGATAATTTGCAACGTCTTTTCAACCCATATTCAGTTCGATACATCACAAGGAAGACATTTAATGTTAAACTGATAATTTATCAGATAAACATCATCAGTTGGTCATTTTCAACATCATACTGCAATAAACATTAGTTGGCGAACGATTAAATCAAGTAAATTATGACGTTATTATTTGAAGGTTACATTTTTTTAACAGTCAAATTAACAATAATGTAAATTCTACATTTGAAGTAAGGCGGGATTCGGTTATTAAAAGCAGATTTGTTCAAGTAGAGGTGCCGTACTAGCTGCCAAAGGTAAACGTGAATGACGTTGAGCAAGATGTCCAGTATCTCTGTTCGACAGCAGGGAGCGCTAAAGAGCCTCCGCGACCTAAGAACTGCAAACAGCCACTCTTGCGCTGGGAAAAGGGATTTTCTCTGAAAGCAAATGTCAACTTTCCAGAGAGAAAATGACCCAGCAAAATCCTTACTCAGAAGACTTGAGGTTTTATTTTATTTTACAAAGTAGCTGGCGTTGACTTCTGTAATAGTTCGTATCTGTATACCTGTGTTGTACTAGAACAAACGCAATTTTAGAGTTGGGGGAGTGTCTATCTACTGTGTTATTTTGTGTTCCCTCTTCAGTTGTGATAGTATTCGTTTGATCCTTCCCTGAAAGTGACTGATTGACTTCAGCCAGCCTAGAAATATTGTCGAGTCCGGACAGACGTAGGAACAAGTTGCAACCTAACAATGTGGAAATGATGTGTAGTTTTCAATGAGCGACGACCTTTTTACCGTATTTCATACATGTTCTATATACACTCTGTTTGGACAAACAACTCGTTGCATTGCTGTTTTTGCGGTTTGTTCAGGTCTCCCCGATCCACTTAAGGTATTAACTGGAAATAAAAGCTTAAGAGCAGGTGCCGAATACACCCCTGACTCCTTAAACCACATATATACGTTGAATATACTAAATATCGTTTTGTTAATATCTATAAATTGATACAGTACTCAATCATTACAGCATGTTCCATGCCATTAAAACTGAAACTCCCGCACACACACACCACCACCACCACCCCACACACACCGCACGCTCCAAAGTACATTTTTTATTTCTCCTTAAAGTCTGCAGTGACTCCCATCGTCTCCGGGGAGTACAGTCAACACCGGGACCGAGCTGCTATGGCCTCCCGGATCTCCTTCACCCAGTTGCGGCTGGAAGCGGAGCTGGATCGGTACCGGGCTGAGTGCCAGTGGGACAAGATTCCTCCAATCGTCGAACACATGCAGGCTGCACGTATGCACGAAGATGGTGAGTGCACGTGTTCTCCCCAAGTTTTACTTTACAGCCCGACTTTTTCTGGCCGTGGTCGCAAAATACATTTATTTTTTTCCCTATGCCTGCTGTGGTCGAGTCGATTAAGATACATGTAGTAGTACAGTACTGATGTTTGTGTAACTGTAGTATGTACACGAGTTGAACTTTGTACTGTTGACAGCATACAGTACGGACTCGTAGCTGGCAGGTATTTTTGGAGGGTTCATTACCTCGACAAAATGTGTTTATTTATTGTTATTTTTTTAAATTGACTTTACTGAACATATTGCAATTTTGACAGCGAATTTAACATGAATCACAATAATGCAAATTTAGAGCAAAAAAATTTGCTGGGGCGACATGACACATAAGGAAAAGGAAAGAAATACGTTGGAAAAAAAGATATACTGTACATACAAATGTCATTTCAAACATGCATCATTTTGGGCTTGGTTTGGCAGACACTAACATTTTGTAATTATAATTCAAAGTCCTAATAAAATGCTGCATAAAATGTTTTGTAATTATCAAATGTATATTTATGAGAGCAAACCTGTGAAAGAATTATTATGTACAATTTTTTCTCATTGACGTCTTAATTACTCTTTTTATAAAGAAGCCAAAAACAACGTGCTCATAAGGCAAATGTTTATCACAGGTTAATCTTGCCACATACCTTCATAGTTTTGTGGTGAGGGGGTGGTTGTTAGTTTTAAGAGTTTTTAAATCTGTCTGCAGTTTCCTGTGAAGAGTTTGTCATTCATAACATTGTGATTTTACCAACATGAGTGCCAAGATTGTATGGACAGTAGTTAGGCTTCAAATTACTCATGACCTGGCCGAATTCTGAGTAGCAGTGAATTTTTATTGAGTAAATAAATGTGAATTTTCTGGTTGTAAATGATTTTCATGTGGAAAATTAGACTGATAGAGTTTGCACTTGGAAATCAGGCAAAATGTGCAATGACAGCCTCGTATAATGATGACACATGTGCACTGTATTTTTACTAAATGTTACAAAGTTACACGTCCTCAAAATGTAATTCAGATTCAGATTCAGGAAACTTTATTTATCCCCATGGGGTAATTGGACAGGCACACTCTGCACAAGAAATAAAAAAAAAAAAAACACAATGCAACGTTTTTCTGCCTGTGCATCATCCAAATAAAATCCATGTTCGAGCTAGTTGTCCAGGCAGCCTTAGTTAACGACAGCTGCACCCCCAGGAAACTTTGGGCAGTGGGTGGGGTACACCCCGAACTGGTCGTCAGCCAATCACAGGGCACACATAGACGAGCAACCGTATACACCAGTATTATACAACAATGAATTCTGTCCAATCCACTGAATTCTTAACGATTAAAAATATCATGCCCATCCATACAAGAAATCATCTGTTGGAGAAAAGAAAATTGTTGAACAAATCTGGTGACAATCAAAACAATATAGTTAGGGGAAAATATACTGTATACACTGATACATCATCCATCCATCACACCTCGGGACAACTTAGAGCAGGGATGTCAAACTCATTCTTGTCACCGCTTTATCCTCACAAGGCTCACTGGGTGTGCTGGACCCTATCCCAGCTGTATTCGGGCAGAAGGCGGGGGACACCCTAGACCGGTTGCCAGCCAATCGCAGGGCACACAGAGACGAACAATCATCCGCGCTCACACTCGCACCTATTTTGAGTGTTTTCAATCAGCCTGCCACAGATGTTTTTGGAGAAACCGGAGTACCCGGAGAAACCCCACACAGGCATGGGGAGAACATGTAAACTCCACGCTGGAATTGAACCCGGTACCTCTGCACTGTGAGGTCGATGCACTAACCACTTGTCCACCGGGCCGCCTACCCAACAACCACTTTGTTTTTTTAAATTCAGGAATTCAAATCACTTAATATCTATACAGACGTTGTGCATCTGTGAAAAGACATTCATTTAAATCTCAGTGGGCATCAAGAATTATTGCTACACATTGGTTTACTAATCATGACAGAAACATATAAAAAATGTTAGTCAACAACTTTAGGGCAGCTTTGGCATAAACTTTATTTATCCCCATGGGGTAATTGGACAGGCACACTCTGCACAAGAAATAAAAAAAAAAAAAACACAATGCAACGTTTTTCTGCCTGTGCATCATCCAAATAAAATCCATGTTCGAGCTAGTTGTCCAGGCAGCCTTAGTTAACGACAGCTGCACCCCCAGGAAACTTTGGGCAGTGGGTGGGGTACACCCCGAACTGGTCGTCAGCCAATCACAGGGCACACATAGACGAGCAACCGTATACACCAGTATTATACAACAATGAATTCTGTCCAATCCACTGAATTCTTAACGATTAAAAATATCATGCCCATCCATACAAGAAATCATCTGTTGGAGAAAAGAAAATTGTTGAACAAATCTGGTGACAATCAAAACAATATAGTTAGGGGAAAATATACTGTATACACTGATACATCATCCATCCATCACACCTCGGGACAACTTAGAGCAGGGATGTCAAACTCATTCTTGTCACCGCTTTATCCTCACAAGGCTCACTGGGTGTGCTGGACCCTATCCCAGCTGTATTCGGGCAGAAGGCGGGGGACACCCTAGACCGGTTGCCAGCCAATCGCAGGGCACACAGAGACGAACAATCATCCGCGCTCACACTCGCACCTATTTTGAGTGTTTTCAATCAGCCTGCCACAGATGTTTTTGGAGAAACCGGAGTACCCGGAGAAACCCCACACAGGCATGGGGAGAACATGTAAACTCCACGCTGGAATTGAACCCGGTACCTCTGCACTGTGAGGTCGATGCACTAACCACTTGTCCACCGGGCCGCCTACCCAACAACCACTTTGTTTTTTTAAATTCAGGAATTCAAATCACTTAATATCTATACAGACGTTGTGCATCTGTGAAAAGACATTCATTTAAATCTCAGTGGGCATCAAGAATTATTGCTACACATTGGTTTACTAATCATGACAGAAACATATAAAAAATGTTAGTCAACAACTTTAGGGCAGCTTTGGCATAAAGGTGGTGGTGGTGGCGGTGGTGGTGGTGGTGGTAGGTTCAAGTGTCAATATTTAAGTGTCAAGACATAAACACTGCTGACTGAACTGGCATTGGAACACATACAAAACACTGAACAGGAGTGTGCATCTTGAAAACCGCCCAGTCTAGAGTATGTGTAAACTGTATGCAGTATCCTGATTTAGAGGTTACATTTCAAAGCATCACGGAAGATAGAAGCAGCGGTTTTAAAACCGTTCCAAAACTGTGTCTACTCCAGGACTGTGTCCACTCCTGAGATTGTACAACATTTATTAGACTGTGTGTGATATGAAAGAAAGACATGTGACCCGTTTACCTTGAGCGTGGACCTTCTGGAAACTGTTCACCGTGACTTTTTTATATCCCGCCTTCAGATGATTATGGGACACTGCTGTTGGCAGAAGCACTGCTGGAAGAGTCCCTGCAGGAAAATATGGACCTGCTAAGGAGTTCCACACCTTTGATGGACAAAATGCAACCAAAATTATGCCGGGCCAAAAGCTACCTCAACATCATCCTAAGCCGAGGCCGTCTCAGTGTAAGTCAAAATGGTTTCCTTTCAAGAGCTTTTCATTCCTCTTTGAATATTACATTATTAACGCTTTCCAATTTAAACAATGTGGGGAATAAAATATTTCAGACAAATCTCGTTTTTCCGCCCCCTCTCCTTCTCCTCCAGCCCCGATATCTGAATGAGGCTCTACTGCTGATGGCCAAAGTGCATTATGTGCAGGGTTGCCATCGCGATGCCCAGGGAATGTGTGCAAGGGTGGGGCTGGAAGAGCTAACGCAGGACGATCAACCAACCTACCACCTCCGCCTACTGGCTGAGGCCTTCGTCATTAAAGGTACTCCTTGTATACGCAGCTTCCCAAACGTACACATTTCAAACAGCACTGATATATTTCATAACTTTACCAAGGAGATTATGGGCCACGGTGAAAAAAAGGTTGCCCGCAGTCAGACCCAAATCTGTATGGTTCTTCGTCTGCACTAACAATATTTACATAATCACTTCAAATTACTGATACTGATGATCATCCAAAGTTAATTTGCAAAAATACTGAGTGTTTCATTTCATTCTCATAATGTTACAATTTAAATCTCGAAATCATCAGACTTTTTTTAAATTTCCAATTGTATTTTTGCAATATCACAACTTCAAACTTGAACATACTGTACACAACTTTTTATTGTGAAAATTGGATACTCGTGCTGTTATATTATTTTTTGCAAGGTGGCACTAATATTCATTTGTATATTTTGGGATTTTATCCTGACAAATATCTGTCCAGATCAAAAAGTAGAGCGATTTATTTTAATATGGTGAATGCAATCTGAAGAAAGAGCTTCAAGTCCCCAAAATATAAAAATGGAATATTCTCCATGCCTGTACGTCCTTTCAGCTCTGCATAGTAGACACTGAGTTTTTATTTAAATAACTGCCTGAGTAAGATCAGGTGCAGTGTGGCTATGAATGGTTTTGAATTTAAAAAAAAAAAGGCCCAATACTTTTGTCTTGGGTGGAACTTCCAAACTTCTAAAGTCAAACCGAGCTGTTCAATGCTACCTTTCGACATTTTCATTTTCCTGGTCCTTTTTCCCCCCTCCCTTTTTCCTGTTACGATATTTTTACTTTTGGTTAATAGATGAAAATACAGTAGTGCACATATGGATCGTCTGGACCCAAGCTACATTTATTTTCAAGTTAACATTTCAGATCCTTACATGCTTTGCGGTCACTTACAGATACAATCCGTGGTCATGGTCAAGGGTCAGATCCACAGAGTATGACAACATACGTCATACTGGCTAATCTTGTGATCATCATCATCATGTCATTACACCCAATATTTCCTGATGAGCGGATGTGACTTTCTGCTAATTGTAATATAATGATGCCACAGTCACTGGTTTGCTTTCTTGGACATTCTTGTAAATTATTTTAAGGTGGACTAATATAGATGTTGTCAAAGACTTCATGAGAAAGTCGACCTATTCCTTTGGGGGTCGCCTCCCTTTTTGGAGATCTTGCTTGTCCTGCATACTGTTGTGGGAATTAAGTCTGCTCTGAATAGTTTGGCAATGATGTCTATTTGGAGCACTTTGCTTATTTGATTAGGCCTGGCGTCTTGCCTGAAGAAGATGCTACCCATATCAGGCCTTCAAGCTCACTATAGGGAAGGTTGCTCTGACTAGGGATGAGACGATTTACGGTTTGCCGCTAAACAGTCGGAGCCTAACTATTTCAAAACGAGTCAGTGAGTGAGGAGAAATTAATGATTGGCTAATATCGGGTGTGGGCAAACTTTTCTCTTCAAGGGCCACGTTGGATTTTTCAAATGGTCTGCTGGGCAGGCACTGGAAGAGTTCACCGCAGGCCAAGGTGTTCTATGGGGGTGCAAGGGGCTGCTTTTTACTCTGGCCCGCTGATCTGTTTTAAATCGTTTTTTGATCTGGACTGGCAAAGCTCGTTTCATACACAAAGTGCGTCATATAGTTTCAAAATAATGTTTTGATTTCCAAAAACAACATTTACATACAACTATACAACAGATACACACAACAGGCAAACCGTTTGAAAACTCAGAAGAATTTCATACATCTAATAGGTAAGTAGAAAAATAAAAAGTACTTTGCTAATATTACTAGAACATGCAGCGCAAGAACATGATTTTGGAAAAGATGGGTCTGGTCCATCCCTCCTTCCTCTTTCCACAAAACACATCTGCTTCTAAATTTCTAGAATCCAGAGTCATTTTTCTGGGTGGAATCTGGAATGCAAAGGTCATAAGAAGACTTGATGTTCTGCACATGAGTAACTGTCATCCATGTGTCCCCTGGATACACCTCAAGTTATCACACTGGCAGTCAAACTGGGAGGCTCATTTCTTTGGCAAGAAGACAATTGTGTTTTACGAGTTTTTTTGACATCAATTTTTTTGTTTGCTAGCCTCTGGCACTTTTATTCTGGCCTTGGGGCTGGGCCTTGTTGGTCTGATCCTGTGGTTCATCTTGTTTTTCGAACCAGCTGGTGCTCAAGCTCATCCTCTTCTTTACTGCGGACTCAGAATGTTCACATTCTGAAATGTCTTTCTCGACATCATCATCAAGTCTCGGTCCTCTGAGCAGATGAAGAACCATACATACCATAGAAAATAATCAAAGCTACTGCATTTTAAATTTAAACTCACTTATCTCACTATGTGCAATAATGAGCAATATCTGAACCATTTCATGTGCAATATGTGTCCTGTGTGCAATATAAGCCTCAGTTCCATACTACCACTACTGCAGCTGTTGTTGTGTGTTGTTGTTGAGTTTTGTATTTATTAAACCGTTATTTTATTTTTTTAACGAAATGCACTAAGGAGTGGCACCCAAATTTCGTTGTATGTAATACAATGACAATAACGGCAATTCTGATACTGGCAAAGCTTTATTTGTGTCCTGAAAATAAGGTAGTGTTAAAATCGAGTATGAGAAAGTTACCCAAAATGCACTACTGTTTCCACACTTTTATAAGCACTGGGTCCCGTGGACCTGAAAACCCTGCAATATAAACGGACTCAACCAACCCTAGCCTGGTCGCAAGTCAATCACAGAAATACTGTGACTAGAGCAGTGAGTGGGAAATGATCCCAATCCAGCTACACAAACCGACAGCTCCAGACCTGAAGCCCCATAGTTGCTGAAGCTACAGAAGGAATGATAAACAGTGACAGTGTTTGTGTTTTCCTTTGCTTTGCTTCTTAAATTCCAAACTGTGGTATCTGTATATATTCCAGGTCTGTCTCTAGACCACCAGGCTCTGTCTTCAGTGTCTCGTATCCGTCTGCTCGAGAGGGAGGAGGAGAGTCTTTCCTGTTACCTCAAGGCCTGCGATGCGGCTCTTTCATATCTGCAGGAGCTTGATAAGGTGCGCCCGAGGAGATTTTTGTCCTTTCCGATCCTTTGTGTGTTGGAACTGGTCCAGTCAACGACACAATTTTGTGCACACATGAGTAGCTGGGTTGGGCAAACTTTTGTGCTGAAGCAGCACATTTGAAACAGACAGGTGGATCAGGTTATTTCTAATAAAAATAAAACAGTTAGAAATGTACCCCGAAACATGTAAATGCAAAATTAGTCTATTTAAAAAAAGCATAAAAAGTCGTTCTAATTTTTAAATTAAAAATTTTTATTGTATTATTTCTAATTAATATTCCCAGTGTGTCTTCATTGACCATTTTTAATAAAATAAAGAGGTGTTTCACGTATTTGTATTATTTTTTTTAACTTTACTAATATTTTTTTTATTATTTACAATAAATCAATTAACTACTGTTAATAAATAAAGACAATGAAATATGAATACATACATTTTACTGAAGCAGTTTCAGTAAAGAATGGCTAAATTGCTGTAACAAATATTACAGGATGCTACGTAATGTAAATGCTCGGTAGGCCGTTTCATGGATGGAGCGGGCCTGATGTGACACGTGGGCCATACTTTGTTGACATCATCACTATTTAACTATAGAAATATTAGTGCACAAAGGTATAAGCACGTTCCTGAATAGATTTTTTTTTTCATGTTAACCAAATAAAGACACTTGAGCTGCACTCAAGGAAGGTGGGATGTTGGACTTTTCTGACTTCCAACTCGGCAAACAAAGAATTCTAGAATTCTTTGAACTGGGAAGTCCTAGTTTCGAAGTCGGGTAAAAGAAAGGGACCCGAGTTCACTAACCGATGTGTCGTCACGTGACAATGGCGACCCCACGGAGACACAGACCGTGAATGACAAAACACGATTTACAAGATTACAAATATAAATTGATATTTCTTTCTTTACTATTTCTTTAATTTCGTAATTTTGAAATAACTTCACGTAACACAGCGTGATTTGTACTGACTGTGAGAAAATATGCCGTTATCGCCATACAGGAAGTTTTTTAGTGAGATGAAAGAAATGCTTTGAAGATATTCCTTTATTCATATCAATTAAGGAAACCATATGAAGGTTTGCTGGAACTCCAATGTGGTGTTCTGAACTAGAGCAACAAACAATTTATTGGAATCAGCCATTTTTTTGTTTACATTCGCCTTGAACGCTTTGAGGTTAGAACTGGAACACAAACAAAGAATAGTGTTTTTCTTCTACCGCTGCTACTCTAAGTGACTCAGTAAGACGTTGCAGTATTTTAGTAGAGGATAAAGAATATATGCGTGTGAATATTCTTACATAATCTATTTACATGTATTGACCCACAGTTTAGGTTCAAATATCTGTTGCTTAAAGGGTTCTAAAACTGACTGTCAATGCTCGTGTTAGCATCTCAATTACATTTTCCATTATGTTAGCATTAAACTACAATGCGCCACTGTAGTGTAAATGGGACATGATTAATCAGTTTTGACTGCTGCAAATGAAAGGGGACGTTATTTTGGGAAAGTTAACAAAATGGCACACGTTAATGAAGATATGATTAAGTTTGTTAATCCAGTGCAGCAATATGATGGTATATTCATACATGTGCCAATGGTCGTTGGCATGTGAGTTGTATGGCTCTCCAAAGGTCCAGCACACTGAGATTATGTTTGAAGTCAACATTTATTTTCAGACCATTTCAACGCCCCACCCAAAGACCGCCAAAGTCCATCTGCTTTCTCCACCTGTGGACTTGGACTTGGGCTTCTTCCTACAGGCAGCACTCCAGAGTGCATACCTGTGTTTGCTGCAGAGAGGGTGAGAAACACGCATGCACACAGCACACTGTTGAGAAATTTGGCATTTTAGGAAGTGGCTTTTGTGAAAATCAAGATGCGTTCAAAGGTTTCACCAGTAGGTGTCAGTATTGCTTTTCGACTCAGAAAAGGATTGCTCTGTGTGTGTCACATTCAAACTGTATGGAAATGACAAAAGAAAGTAATGGGCGAGGAGTGTAAAACGTTTTCTTTCATATTGTCTATTAATTTTTCTATTTAATTTTTCTGCATGATTACAGTATGAAAATTCTGAGAACATTAAGATCATTATCCAACAATTGAGATCTTTTGCACCATTCTGAAGTTACTGTCTAGCATAATTAAAAGCTTTCCAATTAACTACGAATGTATGACTAGCCTGTATTGAGAAATGCTATGAATAATTTTTGTGCAGCTCTTCTCATCTGCTCCTCCCAGTTTCAAAAACATTGAAATACACTTTGTGTGTGTGTGTTTTTAGTCATCTAGCGCAAGGTGCCCACCAACTACGTCGTGTGATGAGAGTGGTGGAGTCACGAGGGTCTCAGGGTTTCAGGAAGGTCAGCTGCCTCTCTTACACAATACAAAAGACGTTAAGTATGGATTCTAATGTTGGTCTATTTTATGAACTACTCAAGAGCTTTTAGGTGGCAGCATGTGTCAACATAGTACTGTATTGACACTTGACAACAAACCGTCACCTAGTGACTACTTCAAAATACTAAGTTCAACCACTAACGTAACGTTATACTAACGATATTTTTATAGGCCGCAGCAAGGAAGCTCGCAGAGGTGCTGCTGAGCTCAGTGAGCGAAGACAGTTACTGGCCCCCTCTGGGGCCACCACCCTCGGCCTGGCTCCGTAGAGAGGGAGCAGCCACCTCCAAAGACGCACTCTACCCCACCGTCAAACCACCACAACGTTACACGACTGACAGGTTTCAAGCCTCCATCTTGCTTTTCACTGCCTCCATGTGCTGATTCATTCATTAGCAATCCATCATACTAATGTTCAGGAAACGTTAAAGTTGGATACTGTGTAAATACTACCACTAGCGCTGTTGTTTTAATGACCTCTTTCAGAGAATTTTTTTTTGGAGGTTGTTAAGGTATGATACCTTTGGCAGCATTGTGGCAAAAAAATACTACTCCATTTCCATGAATGTAAGAGTGGTGGAAAAACCAGAGAAGAACCCATTGAATTTGGTGACAGTCTGGGTAAAATTGCAAATAGCAATACAACCACGTGATGCAAGGTTTATGCTGTAGCTGTCCTACATTTGGAGCATTGGTAATTGCCAAAATCATGGTTTTCGTTTCAGTAATGGTTAACACACCAGTCTGAGGAAGCTCTTTCGCTGTAAAGATGTTTAATGCTTCACTTTAATGCGTACATTTTCAAAATTACTGTTTTAAAAAAAAGCACAAAAAGAATGTCTTTTGTTATTGAAGGTTGTGCTTGATAAATTGTTGACCCCTCACGGAAGCCCAGTGAAGTTGCTCAAAGTGGTCTCTCATAAGGTGAATTCCTCATTCAAAATAGTAAAATGTTTAGTGCTCTACATGAAAGCTCCTCTCTACCTAACATGTCTCGTTTTCTCCATTTGGACACACAACTGTCTCGCCAATTAGACTCATCTCTGTTCCCCCTCTGGCTTGCTCGTTGTGCAGACCCTGCAGCCAATAGTTACTGCCACATGAATAATCCTCACACACCTTCAAAAGATCTTGATCCATGTCTGAGATTAGAGATAGAGACGTGACACAATTCATTCTGAGGAGCAGCTATGCTATAGTATTGTTTGCGGCTCCTGTGTTGTCACATGGCGTAGCTCTTTTTCAAGCCCAACGTCTTCTAAAAATATGGTCCCGAATAGAATAGTACAGAAAGTGTTCATTAAACAGATTTACATGTTGAGAATGGAAGTATGAAACACTACGTACGTATGAGATGTATCTGAGAACATGCGTGTAGTTAATGAGACTCCAAAGGTGGGCCGTGTAGGATTACACACTGTGTGAGTCCGAAACTAGACACTCCGGAAACTCAAAAGGCTTGAAGTAAATGATATGTGTGCCTTTGCGTTTATGTCGACAAGAAAGACTTTCAATAATCTTTGTTTCCTTTGTCACTGCAGTTGCTTCTGTCCCCAGGACGTGGTTGAAGAGGCTGTGTTGCTGCTTCTCATAACAGAGTCCATGGTGAGACACACACACACACACACACACACACACACACACACACACACGTGTTTGTAATACATTGAGACCCCTCATTGTCTTCTCTTCACTTCAAATATCATTTTCATCCAGGCCAGTGGTGATGCGGTCATCAGTCGTCTGCCAGATCAGGCCGAAGCTCTCCAAGCCACCCTGAAAAATTCGATTTCTGTCTATGACCTGCTCGCTATTGGCATGGCGAGGAGGAGGCAGTATAACATGTTGTCTGAGGTCTGCAGACACACACACAGACATGTCCACTGTAGTGCAGGTCTGCGGGGAGTCTTGCAGATGAGTGAGAGATGTGTTACGGACAGCCTCGTCTTGAGAAAACCTTTTAATGAATGCCCTTATCAGTCTGATGTTAAAGGGATTGCAGCGTGTAACAGAACTACCCCAGCAATGACAATGTAGGACACCAAACCACTGTAACGTATGCTCTCAGTCCTAGTGGGAATACATGGACCAAGTAGGTAATCCCATCGTACACAGTTTACAGCACGGCACAGCATCACATTGCAAACAATAATACTAAGCTAATAACCGCAGCCTAAATAGTTTTCCGTTCTCTGAATCTCGATGGGTCTCATCTCCACTTCGTGTTCGGCCGTTCGTGGCACAACATTTTCTACATCCCGAGCATCTGACTCGTACATGTATGGTCCAACATACATCTTGCCAACAACCTCCTCTTCCTCCAATGCCTTCAAACACCTGGAAGCAAGCTTCATATTTGTTTATGTGTTTACGCCACTAGCTTGGTTGTTCAATTGTGTAGCAGTTCTTGTGGTGACAATTGTCTTATCAATCCACCTTTCTGACATTCTCCTGAGTGTCAAAAGCAACAGTTCTCCACTTTTCTCTTAATTTGTACTGGAGTTTGGTAGTCGTGGCTTGTTATCTAACTCCTCACTATGATCTGCCATTGCACAGTGGTGAGAAACCAGCCAACGTATTTTGAGAACTATCAATCCATTTTCATTTGTAGTTTCTAATTCAACTTAGTTTCCTCTAAAGGTTCTCGTGGAGCTGTAATTTTATCAGTCTTTATGATGAAAGATGAAAGCTTTTCCTCTTGCTAGCCGTTGTTAGCGCCATAGCAAATCACTGCTTCTTGTAATGTTGGTCCAAATCCTTTTCGTGCACTCCAAATTCTGGGCTCCAAAATAAGTTTTCAATCCTACGCAGTCATTTAGAACGGCTCTTATTCTAATGTTATTGCAGTTTGCTGTGACTCATGGTTTTCACGCGTCTACTAGAATTGATCCTGCACGTTGGTAGTAATCCACTTGAGTCTGCCCATGCTTTGAAAAGACTACGTTAATCACTCACAGAAAAATAGACTTATAGTAAGACATTTTGTGTCTACACAGCTCAAGACTAACCCTGACTGAACAAAGCCTTTTTTCCTATAGTGAGCAAGGTGAAAAATGTAAGAAAGCACCTAAGTATTTTATAGAGTCTAAATTAATAAAAGACAAAGTAAATAAGATAAAAATGAGTTCATGTGTTTATAATGTCCATGACACAAACTGCATTCTATATTAATTTCTATATGGCTGCTAAAAAAAACTTCTAATATACATTTTATATATTGTGTATATGTTAGCTTTTTGACAATTCAACTCTTGTCAATCGTCTGCATTTACCTTGCAGTGTCTGGAACGAGCAATGAAGTTTTCTTTCAACGAGTTCCACCTTTGGCACCAGCTGGGCCTGTCGCTCATGGCGTCCGGGAAGGTGAGTTTGTTTCACCTTTAAATGCCACACTCACCCATTTTGCTACAGACATCCGTCCCTCCAAATAAGCAACAAATGGTGGTCACAGATCAAAGGTTTATTCTGCTTGTACTGTCAGGGGGTTAAACCATAATAATACGAACACAAGATCATGTTTGAATATACAGTGCAAAGATTTACTGGCTTGCCCTGCACCCTTCATTTGTATATCAAACAATCCTAGAATATTAATTTGGGTCTGTTAACAGGGCAGTATGTAATTCAAATATTATTTCAAGAAGTAATAAAGGTATTCATCTGAGTAAGATAGCAAAGGACTTGTCTGCGGGTTCTGTGTTTCGATCAAAGTCCCGCTGTGTATAGACATGTTTGTGTGTGAAAAATCGATCTGGTTCCCAGTATGAAGTGACACTGCGGATCAATGGAGAGTTCTACAAATAGGCTGCTCCCAAGAAGGAGAAAGGGCCGCCTCAGTCTTGTAAGTTGCACGTCTATTTAGAGCTCAGCGGCAGTGTGCATCTGCGTCTATGCATGCGTGCACCAGGCCAGGGTCAGCTCGCCCATGAGGTGAGATATTGTAGGCAGATGCTGCGGATACCGTGGACTGTTGGGGTTGCCAAAAATTCAACTTCAATAGACAGTGATCCTTCGCCCCTTTGCACTTCAAGTTTTGCGGCTTCAGGGTTTCACTTTTTTTTTCAGTATCAATAAAATTTAAGAAAATGCAGCCAAATCGGCACCCATATTGCGGAAAGATGCATTGTTTCATATTTATGCTGCAAGAGAGATGGTTTGCCTCAACAGGAAAAGCGGTGTTGAAAATGGGTTGATGGACTTATATGGGTTTGATTCACTCATGTGGTACGTGTCTTCTGCATCTCCTTGACTGGTGACTGCTGAATAAATACAAATTACAATTTCTCTCTTATATTTATGCGTGTATATTACAGGCAGTTGGTGCTGTGTCTGTGTTCAAAGAATGTGCCAGGATGAGACCGGAGGACCCGTTGCTGCCCCTGTTGGCCGCTAAAGTCTGCATTGGTCAGCTGCACTGGGTAAAAACAACATGCAAAACCGACTCATATCAAACTATGTTATAATTCACACAAATGTTTGTGCTATGGATAGCGGGCTTGAGGCATGATTCACTCTTGTCTTGTCTTGTCTTTGGTTTTATTGGAACTTTTAAAAGTTAATTCCCCATCACTCTTCAGTCACTGTTTATACCGACACATTGGCTACTCCTTAACAAGTCGCTTAAAAAAATAGATGACATTCATTTTATATTAATCAATGCTTAGCGGCAGTAATTTGGTCTCAAGAGATTTGTCTTTGGACCAATTGAAGGACACATACACCACATGGGAGGCCCTGACCCTTGATTGGTGTGAAGCAGGTAAACAAAATCAACTTAAAGAACGATATTAAGCAAAAACATGAGGACTCCAAGTGGAATAAGCCGCATAGGGCAGCAGCATAGTGGTTTGGCACTGTTCTGGATTTTTTAGTGGACTTTGCCTGTTCTTCTGGTAGGCTACTTAAGGGACTACTCAGGCTTCCTCCCACAATTTAAAAATATACATGTAAGGTTTATTATACATGATGGAGGTGGGATGTACATTGTATGCCTATGCATGTGAAATCATCGCACACCAGCGCTTGTGTTGCAAATGTTACACAATTGGCATATCGGTGACTCACACAGATGCGCATGGCCAGAATCTCGTGCAGCTTGCGTAGTCCTGCTGTTCATGACCTATAGGCGTGAGTGAGAGAGTCAATCGTGGCATGTTGGCAGGGGAAAGAGAGACCTATAAGGGTGAGGCAGAAAGAGAGAGAGAGAGAGAGAGAGAGAGAGAGAGAAAAGGCCAGATTAGAAAAGAGTTCATAGGGGTGAGTGTGGAGAGCACATCTGTCGGTGACTAGAGCTCATGCTAGGCAGGAGACAGTAAGGAGCTTAAGGTCTTAATCACAATGGGCCTCTGTGGCCATAGCGCAGTGGGGCATTACATAAATGGGCCGCCATTATCGGCCATCAGATGAGCTGGACAAACAAATGTGCAACTTTTTCTTTCGTGGATCATAGCACTTAAAATCTGACACACCCGTGCCCATCCTGTGCCATCACTACAGCAAAACTGCATTTTCAAATTCCTGAAAAGCAGTTTTATATTGGTTTTTATTTGTCAACCTCAAGATTGCTCAATTGATCCCTGTCCAGAATGTTTATGACGCTGATATCTGTGTGTTCCACATGTGCTCCCACTATCAAGTGTGGTAAGAGAAGTGAAGCATTTAATAGTAGAGTAGAGTTGAATATTACACAATAAAAGGCGACTGGGAGGAAGCAGAAACACTTTGGTGAAGATCTGGATCAAGGTGATCAAGGAATTTAGTTTGACCGTTTTACTCACTATGACATCAATGGAAGGCACCGCCTGTCTGTCATCCACCAACACTTCCAAACAAAACACACTATTGGGTAGAAACATAAGTATTTGATGCAGTACATATAGATATGATCATTAAAGAACGGCTAAAACATCATTAAGGTGGAAAAGAAACAATAGCTGCGTGTAGGCTCTCAACTCCTAAATACAAGAGTTATACAAAGAGAGCAGAGCAAGGATGAAAGAGGGCAGATAACGGGTGTCCAAACACTGGATTAGGGGGTGCAGCACTCAACCACCAGCAGCTCTTCCTCACACACACACACACACACACACACACACACACACACACACACACACACACACACACACACACACACACACACACACACTATTCTTCAACACAAAGTTCAAAAGCCAGCATCTGTGATGGTATGAGGCTGTGTTAGTGCCAATGGCATGGGTCACTTGCACATCCGTGAAAGCGCCATGAAATGCTGAAAGGTACATACAGGTTTTGCAGCATCATATGCTGCCATCCAAACATTTCTTTTTCATGGACGCCCCTCTTTATTTCAGCAAGACAATGCCAAAACACATTTTGCCTGTGTTAGAACAGTGGGACTTTGGAGTAAAAGAGTGCAGGTAGTAGACTGGCCTGCCTGCAGTCCTGACCTGCCTCCCATGGCAAATGTCTGGTGCATTATGAAGCGTAAAGTACAACAACGAAGACCCCGAACTGTTGAACAGCTGAAGCGAAAGAATTCCACCTATAACGCTTCTACAATTAATGTCCTAAGTTCCCCAATGGTTATTGACTGCTTTTAAAAGAAAAGGTGACTGAACAATGGTAAACATGACACAGCTTTTTTGGAAAGTTTTGCAGCCATAAAATTCTAACTTGATACGTTTTTGCGAGAAACATCAGAGTTTATCCGTTTGAACATCAAATATGTTGTCTTTATAGTGTATTCAATTAGGTATAGGTTGAACGTGATTTGCAAATCATTGTATTCTGTTTTATTTACTGTATATTTAACACAAGGTCCCAACTTCATTGGAATCTGGTTTGTAGTTATTTATAATTGTGTTATTATTTCAATGGTTGTCTTTTGTGTTTAATGTACAGCACGTTAGAGCTGCAGTTGTTCTTAATGCGCTCTTGAAATAAAGTCGAGTTAAATTATGACACTTTGTGCCTTTTTCCGTGTGTTTCAGTTCTCCGAAGCGGAGGCTCTGTCCCAAAGCGTGGTCTCAATGGGAGAGGGAGCCGGGGAATCTCTTCCTAGGGCCTACCTGGCTTTGGGGCTCTCCTACAGTCTGCAGGCTTCTGATGGTGATACAGAAATTGGCTTTATTCTGAAATGTTGTTGGGGGAAAAAAAAATTGAGGATGAATTCTGAGCACCAATGAATATCCTTGAGCAAGGCACTGGATCGTGACTAAAAGGCTGATGATCACGGTTGAACATGTGTAATTCAGCGGTGCTGAATTACACATTCAGCACCGCTGAGTGTTGCCTCCATGAACCAAATCGCGATCGTAAACCATCCCCGTCTTTATGCAGGCTTAAATTTGTTTTGCGCTTGATTTCACGCTGGCCTATCCCCTTGCTCCGCCCCTCGTCGTTACGGTAACCCAATCTGTACTCTCACCACGCAGTAGAGTGTGGGCTGAGCAGTTGCTCATTTGCCTGAGACGCGCCATTTTCAAAACCGTCTGCTTTCAATTGAGCTGTAAAAAATTGGTGAAACGTGTTCTGTATATTTTTTTTAATCCTTGGGGTATTTTGACCAAAGCGTGCCACAGACACAGACCATGTGAGAAGTGCTAGAATTTGTACAAAAATCATATTCGATTTTATTTCCGATCTCGAGACTTGGCGCATGCAATGAAGTTAGTCTTACTGCTTCGTTTCATCTTCAAACACGAATTTTTGAGGCTAATGTCTCAAAAGAGCAGACAAAGCTAAAGAAAAGGCAAAACACCAATGTTGAGTGAATCCTTTAAGCCTTAATATTTTTTGGTAGGTCAATGAAGTACTTTGTCGTCTTGCGTGATATGGAGATGATCCTGTTTCAAGTTGCTGATTCTGTCCTTTTTGTAGCCTCGTTGAAAGAAGATCGCGACGAATACAACAAAAAAGCTCTACGAATTCTGAGGAAGTAAGTTCTACTTTATCCAGTTAGATGTTTGTTAAATGTATGATTTTGAGGCATGAAGTTTGACACATACTGATTGTTAAGTATGTTCAATAATTCTGATCTAATATCTCAGGCAATATATTATGGGCGGTACATGCATTGAACTCAACTGTGCAGTTTTTATTTGAATCATTTTTGGCACTGTTTGACCTGGCATGACTCAATCTGTCTCTCTTCACAGGGCTCATTCATTAGACCCACAGGACGCTCACATTGCCATGTGCTTGGCTCTGCAATTGGCTCTTGTACGGCAGGTGAAAGCAAACAAATACAGTAACACATTACACGTTGTCTCTCTTTCCATTGTCAAATAATCTAAAGCGTTCTTAAATGATATGATTGTATATTAGCCCTACCGTAGCAATTTTAGGCATCCCTCAGTTGGGGGTACTAAATATTGTGCAACCTAAAGGGTGGAGTTAGACACCGCCAAATACCAAGAAATAAACAGCCCAAAATGATGGAGGTCCTCCAGTGTTGTCCTGTTTACTTTGTGATGTTCCTCTTCTTCATCCACATATGCAACATTCCAAACTGTACTCTTTGGAACTGTGGAAATGTGGCTGAAGTTACCTAAAATGATGGCTATGCTTGGGCAGGTATCCGCAGCCATGGAACCATTGCAGGAGGCTTTATCTCTCCAAGGAGATGACTTGCACTCCCTCCATTTGCTGAGCCTTCTCCTCAGTGCTCAGAAACACCACCGCCATGCCCTGGACACCTTGGGACTGGCCCTCAGCCAACACCCTGACAACTTCAAGTAAATCCACAACACCATCCCACTCACGCACGCAAGAGGAAAAACACTGATGCATGCATTGGTCAAGTGGGAATGAAGCACTCAAAGTAAAAATACACAATCCCTTTTTCGACTGCGCGGTTTCTTAATCTTTGAGGGAGCCAAAGAGTGAGCGAGAAAGAGAGCGAGAGATCCTGAAAAGCCACACAGCACCAACACTTGTCATCTTGCAGGGATAGGGTGTCTCAGCTCCACTGCGTTGGAGGCCAGGCGCACGCTTGCACGAGCGCGCACACACACACACACACACACACACACACACACACACACACACACACACACGCACGCACACGCTCGCAATGCCTTATTTAGAAGTGCCAGAGTGAAGGCCTGCATTGCGGTACCTATTTCCCCTCATACAGCCCTTTGCCTTTTAACACTGTAGCTTTGACCCAAGCCTGCAGGCACACTCCCAACATGGTCATCATGTCTCACTGTTGTTCTGTTTTATTTTTCTCCAATTAATGTAATTCATTCTATCAAATGATAATAAATGAAATATCAGTAAATCAATAAAACATATTGAATAATCTTATAACACATAATAACAAGTAGAGGAAACCAGATGATATTTGAAGGAAAATGTAACAGTCCAGGTCAGTGGCTTCACACAAATTACATTATGAAAGAATGTTGCATCATCTCTCGCATGTGTTTACTCAGTGTTTTTGGACGCCTGTAAATGCATTTCTCAATGCAGCCGTTTGGGGTCAGTGTTGACCACCATAGTCCCAGTATCACTAGATGGTCTACATCACTACATCAGAAAGGACGGGGAAGTGAGTGACAATGCATGAGCACAACAGAATAAATGCAACAAAACGGGGACGGAAATAAGGCCGTTTAAAGAAGAAAAAAAACAGAAGAAGAAAGGACTGGTTCTCTGATGAAGGTTCATTGCTTTCCTCTTCTTGGGAAAAGAAAGTCTTTGTACTCTCCTCTCCGTCTAGAGGACATAGTCACACACATGCACGAGCGCACATACTGTACCTTAGTCGAGACACTTGACTACTTTGACCCATTTAAGTGCTCTTTTCCAGGCCCAGCCAATCACCTTCGCTCTTTGAATCCCTGATTCAAGCCCTCACCACCACGGTGACTACAGAGTCGTATGAGTCGAGCATGTAGCATCAGTTGTCATTCCAAAGCTTTTTCGTATGGGCTTGTACGTAGAAATTACGCCAGAAAACAAAATCGCGCGAGCGATAACTTCTAAGATGAAAACAAAACTCATACAACAGCTCTTTGTTATGTTTAGATGTGTCAGTGAGAGTTCCTATCTATTTATCTATCTATCGATCTATCTATCTATCTATCTATCTATCTATCTATCTATCTATCTATCTATCTATCTACCTCCTGAAATAAATACTGATAATATGATTGAGTAACATGATCATGGTAATGTATGGTTAGCAAGTCTGCTTTACAGTGGAGAGGTTTCTGGTTTAAAAACCTTAGCTCAGGCCCGTTGCATGTTGTCTCTGTGCTTGTGGGGATTTTCTCCAAATTCCAACAACATGCATTGTAGGTTAATTGAAGATTAGAAAGTGTCTATTGATGTGAGTGCGGTTTGTCTATGTGCCCCGCAACTAACTGGCGACCGTCTCACCCACGACTTTCGTGCGGATCCGCGTTATGCCAATTGGATGGATGGGCGTCTGAAACCAGTTGTAGTTGTTATTTGGCACAATTTGTTGAAATGCACTAGATTGTCCACAGAGAGGATATTCATGAACGTTTTAAAGTCACAGAAACTCACATGATGTGGCAAAGAAGAACTCGATAACATAGGTAAAAAGGCATTCGGCAGCTTGTATTTTAATCAGTTAGAAGTTCTAATTGTGCTCGCCCTCAATGGAGGTGTATTCTCTGTAACAAGCACTTTTGAATATCATTTGTGCTGAGTGAGTGTCGCATATCCAAGGCGGAACGTTGGCGAGGTATTGGCGCGACACATGTCTGCGTACTGCGCTGGTGTGAGGAAATGGATAGTGTGCGTGGATGCGAGAAGGGGTGAAGTGCTTGCGTCCAGGATCTTAGTCTTGCTCATGGATGATGATGTGTGTTACTATATTTTGGAGTGTGCATGCATGTATGTGATCCCTGTTAGCGATTGCCTCTGTGCACCACAGCAAACTTGTTGTAGCGTAGCAAATTTCTTCTTCCTCCATTTCTCTCACATCCTCTTCCACCAGCCTCTCACTTACTCTCCAGCCTTACTTCCTTGGCCTTTATTCATTGATGTCCTTTACACAGTGCCTATTGAAATATTGATTTTCTCCTTGTTTAATTGTAATCACACTAGGATACGGATATGCTCTCACTGGTAGATATGCTTTTGCATTAGACTGAGAGACATCAGTGTTTGAAGGCTATGGGTGTGTCAGAGTGGCCAAAACAGAATAAATAACCCGAGCCTTTGATTGATATAGATAGATGTGTGTTTACTACTGGCAAGCACTACATGCAAGCTTGCCCAAATGTCAAAGGAAGTGCTGTATCTGCACAGGCTTTCATCATGTAAACTCTACGTCTTTTGTACATGCGCACCTGCTCACAAAGCAGAGAAAACAAAGTGATCTGTGGGGGTGCAGAATGAGTAATACTGTAGCTGGACCATTTTTTTTTTTCAACCGAACATTGCTAGCTAGCTATTTTTAAATGCAGTTGATGCCGGCACTCGTTGCCCAAAGCCAGCCACCAACTAAGCATTAACGCAGAGCAACTCCGCTCACTGCCATCCACTCTTCAACACAACGCTCCGTGCACACTACAGTAGGTGCATTCCCGGGAGGCTGAAAATGACAACAATTGTAATTGGGTGCGCATCGTCTCATCTTGAAATCCACCTTTACTTACTTACTGCAGCTCTAAATGAAAACGCTGGCTTTGAAGGAGCGCTGAAGTTGTCCTTGGATGACTATGAACAATTAGCATTGACATGAAAATAACTGAGGCCTTTTCTGAGGAAACTGAATTAGCTCGCCTTACGTTCATTGAAATGTATAGCATTCGTGTGATTTTATTGAACGTAGGAATACCATATATACTGGTATTTCTTTTCCGCAGGCACACACAGAATGATATTCTGTCTATATACTTTTCTTCTACTTATCAACCACCGTTATGTTCAGATCTTCAAACATTTTCCCCAGAAAAATAAATCCTCACTTTCAGGGTCAAACTGTCACTATCACAGCATTCTTACCGATAATAACAATAAGTCCCTTCAGTCTCTTCTTCAACAGACGGAAACACTGTTTTGGTTGAAGTCTGAACATTGACTTCATCAGTATAAAAAAAAAAAAAAAAACTACTTCTTGCACCTGATGAACTCCTTCAATGTTTTGGCAGTGATTTGGCTCATTGGCTTGCTGCGATTTGAATGATCTTCCAATTAGTTTGGTTTAACCCTTGCGGGGACAGCGGTGACTACAGTGAACAGTTTATCATGTTATCAGGTTACAGGGTGCATGAAAGGGTTAAATAGGCAGACAAAATGTTTCTGTTGATTTTTTTTTGCTGTTGCCATCATCTGACGACAGATTGGTAAATCCCCCCCCGAGAAGAAGCCATCGAATCTCAAACTATCACATTACATCAGGGGTGTCAAACTCATTTTTGTCGCGGGCCACTTTGGAGTTACGTTTTCCCTCGGCGGGCCATTACGACAGTGAAACCGAATAAATCATCTCTTCGCATTACTTGTACATAACCAATTGATGGATGGCTAGTTTTGCAATCACTCTAGTCAATTATTTGTTTGTTAAATTGAGTTTAAAGTTGATTTTTTTTTTTCCAGACAATGGTCTTTTTGGTGAAGTTTCTCTTCAACTCTTACCTGGTTTACAGTTTCGGCTGTCACTTCAGCCTTCATTGGAGCTGTCACTACTTCCTTGTGACGTGTCTTAAAAACAGCTATTGGTTTGTTGTTTGTTGTAAACAGGGAAACAAAATTATTGCAAAATCTGAATGTCATTTATTACACATGACAATTTCACATTTCAGTACAGATTTTAGCAAGGATCATGCAAGTTGACACTCATGATTTTCTTTCGCGGGCCACATAACATGTGGCGGGCCGGATCTGGTCCCCGGGCCTTGACTTTGACACATGTATATTCCATGGACAATTTATTGTTTGAATAATCCTCGTAATAAGGACACGCCTGGGCAACAAAAATAAAGTCAGGGCCATTTTCCATTTCCATTTCCATTTAGTTCAAACAAAAGGTGCCATCTTCTTATTTGGGTATCGGAGGCAGATAGAAACACCTGGAAACAAAAGCTAAAATGTTGATCTCTTATCGTCATCTTTTCATTCGACACCAAAACGTTTTCACTCAAAAATAAAGACATTGGCATTACTGTCTGGGTAATTTTGTTAGGAATTGAATGCCTGTATGCATTTATAGGCCATATTGTGTGTGTGTGTGTGTGTGTGTGTGTGTGTGTGTGTGTGTGTGTGTGCGCGCGCGCGCGCACGCGCGTGTGTGTGTACGTGCGCATATCCCTTAACCCTTTCAGGGACATCGGTCACTACAATGAGCAGCTTATCATGTTATCAGGTTATAGGTTATCATTATTGGTGCATGAAAGGGTTAAAGGACTTCTTCACGTCCCTATTTTGAATGCCATTTTCAATGTGCTAATTCATCTCAAACATCCTTAAGGTGGTTTAACATTACAATCAACACCTTCCATTTAGTCCAGAGAGAGAGAGAGTCTGTTCACATGATACACACCAAACAGACTACGTCACATTTCAACACTAGGGTGGGTTTACACCATCAAAATGCCTCGGAACGTTTTGCCACAGTGGTAATAGGGAGCCTAGAGACACACACACAGCAGGTGTACCCTTCACACAAGCAGCCCCATCCTCCCACACACTCAAGCTTACAACTCTTCCATTTCCCCCTCTCACCCTCAACACTCTCTCTCTCTCTCTCACACACACACACACACACACACACACACACACACACACACACACACACACACACACACACACACACACACGCAAACCCGCACACACACTCCCTTGCCCCGGGAGGCTACTGACCCATGTACCGGTAATAAGGCGCATTTCACAGAGAGTTTTCTCCCCTGACAAAAGCTCTTCTCACTCTGCTATTGATCCTCACCCTCCCTTCATACTCCTCATCCACTCGGTTTCCTCATCTGCTATCCACCCCCCCCCACCCCCACCCCCGTCCCACTGACTGAGCATAAAATGATTGGAGGATCATTCAACGAGGATGCAGCAGACAGCAAGATCACCTTAATCTTGTTGACTCTTGTGCTTACTGTCTGTCCTCGCTCCTTAGTGATGTCCATGACAGACTGCTTTCACTGAGGACCCCCCCACCCCGACCCCCCGGCACTTAACGTATGCACGCTCTCTCTCTCTCTCTCTCACTCACACTCACACACATTGACCATGCATGTGTACCTTATATCTGACATTCCCACATCACTTAACCCGTTGTTTTCAACTAAAAGGGCCGAGTCGAAATGCTATGACCTCTCCTCGTCATTCTTTCAACATACCTCACTCACACACACACACACACACACACACACACACGCACGCACGCACGCACGCACGCACGCACGCACGCACGCACGCACGCACGCACGCACGCACGCACGCACGCACGCACGCACGCACGCACGCACGCACGCACACACACACACACACACACACTTTGGATGCTTTACAAGATTTTTAAAGCTATGTTACAGTTATTTTGCAGTAGCGTCCAATGTAACCAATACATCAAAATTATCAATTCAAATTTGTACTACAACACAATATACCGGTAATTACCGTTCAGATCCCTGCATAGCACACATGCAGCGGACAGATGATCAGACATGACTATGTCCAAATCTTCGTCCATCGCTTGAAAATGGTGACTCATACTCCATCCTGAAGAAACTCAGTGTGGGAGAGGTATTATGTAAACCAGCTACGTTGTTACACCACATTCCAGTTAAAAAGTCAATTTTCTATAATCTCCGATGTAAAGGAGCATTTACATGAAGATTGATAGCGTGGTTAAGAAGAATCTCGAGTTATTTGCTGCCGCAGTACAGTACTTGAATCATCTTTATTTCTTTACAAATGTTCTTTGGAGCAGGCGGTCTTTGCTTTTGGACTATTTATGTTGAAAATATCTTTCGATACCTCGACTATGGAACAATTGCTGTCTAACTTGAAGCCTTATTTTGTTCACTTCAATGCTGGCAGAGAAACAGGGATGAAAATATTCAAATTAATATTATTAATATTCTCCCATCCCAGCAAATAAAATAATTAAAAAAAATACTATTAATTAGTTGAATAAAATTAATATATCAATATTCCCATAGACATTATGCTCATCTAGCGGTTAGCATGTCTGCCTCAAAGTTCTGAGGTTCAGTGATTGAATTTTGACTCTGGCCTCACGGTGTGTGTGGCATTTGCATGTTCAAAAAACACATGCATGGTAAACTGCACATAGAAGTGAATGTGAATTATTTGTTGTCCAAATGTGTTCTCTGATTGGCTGGTGACTGGATAATATTCCCTAAAATCGATCTGAAGTCTTGTTTGTTAAATGTGATTGTTGTGTTTTGTGTTGGTTTGTTTTTGTTTTGTTTTTTTGCTCTAGTTTGCTGTTCACAAAGGCTAAGCTTGAAGAAGTCCTGTATGGTCCATCTGTGGCCTTAAAAACCTGCCAAGAAATGCTACAAATCTGGCAAAGGCGCTATGATGTCAGCCGCTCAAAGTGAGTAAACCTATAATAAACTATACAGTCAAACCTCGGTTTTCGTCCATAATCCGTTCCAGAAGGCTGTTCGAAAACCGAAATTGTTCGAAAACCGAAACCATGCTCTTTTTAAAATAAAAATGTTTACTGAACACGTCTGCTCACAATGGAAAGCAACACGAGGAAGCGTCACTTCCTCGTCTCCCCGAGGAAGCGTCACTTCCTCGTGTAAGGAAGGCGAGAGGAGTCAAGTGGTGCATTCAAGTGCGCTCAGTTTGTTCGAGAACCGAAATTTATTCGTCATTCGAGGCATAAAAAACTCTAAATTTTTGGTCGAAAACCGAATTGGTCGAGAACTGAGATGTTCGAAAACCGAGGTTTGACTGTATCTACATTTACAATAGCGTCGACATATAGTGGAATCCCATATTTTATAATGTCCACATATGCATTTGTATGATGCTCCTATGGTAGATAAAAACCTTCAAAGGGAAACTACTAGTTTACCAGCTTTCCGTAAAATTTTTGTTCAGCTTCTTTGGGGAACTTTTGAAATATTTCAGCAATTTGTGGGAATTAATTGATCGGAGTGGGAGTAAATTCCCAACATAATTTTTATAGACACTGCGAAGACAATCGAAGTACGGATGGCTCATCATAATGTAATTTACAAAAGTGTGTGTGTGTGTGTGTGTGTGTGTGTGTGTGTGTGTGTGTGTGTGTGCGTGTGTGTGTGTGTGTGTGTGTGTGTGTGTGTGTGTGTGTGTGTATTTTCCAGTGAAGCAGATGACAGTAGCAGCATAAGAGTGGTTGAGAGGCTGGACGCCGGCCCTCGAGTCAGTAAAACATCCATCCACCTCACTCTGCCTGATTTCCAAGATACCTCCACTGGTCTGCCTTTTGACTTTTTAAATGATGGTTTAGCCTTGTGTTTGTCGAAACTAATACTGTACTGCGCAACTTTTGAAGTTTTGAGTACACTCACACCGGCACAGGCAACGAGTGACCCACGGGCTTTGTGCGGTCCGCGAGTAGGTGGATCTGTTTGAAATTGCGATGATACAAATCACCCACAGCGGGAGGTCTAAAACGTGGGGAAGCCCAGCAGCTGCAAGAGTACTTAGAAATATGTCAATGTGACACTCGCTTGAAAATGTGTTATTTTTGCTGACTTCCAAACAATATATTGTAGTGTTATGAGTTACTCGTTCTGTATTTACAAGAGATTGTCAGTTCATTTGAAATGCGTAGTTGGTTATTGAAGTAGGAGTCTTTGTATGACACTATCAAGGTCTCTAATATTGTCACACAGTAATAGTATTGTTCTGAAAAGGAAAAAAAAAAAGATGAAGTATCACACTTTTTTTGCGGTACTCTCATTTCAAGGCTAAAGTTATTCATGTCGTTATTCATGTCGTTTTAACGATGTATTTTATTCATGTTTATTTTTTACTTCACTTTCCATTTTCAGGTTCAATGAGTCCATCGTCGGTTGCAGCATCCCGTCTTGAAGCGGCTCTCTCAGAAGTGTCGGACATCAGCTCCACGCATCGCCAGGGACCCACATATATCTGGACTACTCTTGAACGTATTTGGCTGCAAGCTGGTATGAGAGCAGCACACTGATAAAACATTCTGAGTGTTTTGAATGGTTGTTAATTGGGGCTGGAGAGTAAAGGCAGACTCAATAATGGATAACATGTTATTTAATAAAACACAAAAATTTCTAGTCGCCTGACCTCTGAAATGCGCGAAAAGCCTCATTTAGTGGCTGGAAAACTACACCCATGTCTCATGCAGTGTTTGATCAGTGCTGGGTGTGAGTGTATGTATGCCAATGTATGCTTCAATCTGTAGTAGAACATCTGAGTGTGCAGCATCGGTCGCACTACTGACACTTTAAAAGAAGTGGGAATGGTGTGGTGTCCTGTTTGTAGATTAAACTGCTGTGGTAATGAAGGAATGAGTGTAGACATGTCATGCGCGTGCTTGATGCTCCCCAGCGTGAGAGCAGCACGTAATTGGGCACGCTCGCAGCTTAGAGAGAACATTGCCGCTGACCCCGTAAAAGTTCACAATGGTTCCAAAGAAATTGTAGAACAAGATTTGGAGACAAGGTCCGAAACAAGTATTGACAACGTTCCCGCACCGTAGGTGACGCATGGAGTTAGCATCGCATGTTCCTCATTCTTTCAGTCACCTCTTTCCAAAGAATGTAGGTATGAATGTGAGTGGAAATGGTTGTTTGACTACAGGAGGTGATCTGTGATTGACTGGCAACCAGTACAGGGTGTGCACTGCATTGCCTCTCGCGCAGTGACCCTGAACAGAATAAGCAGTAGCAAAATGGATGGATCAAAAGGGTCTTCACCTCACCTCTTGTTGGAAACGGAGCACGTAAAGTAGTAATCTGGAGGATTTCTTGAGGATAAAAAGTCTGACAGATTGATAAATGGCTGGTCCAACGGAAGACAATGGTTTCTAGTGGTGGTGTGGCTTACCATAATTACAAAGCTCGAGTAAGGCAGAAAAGCTGGCAAAACAGGATGGCAGCAAAGAGGTTCGATTCATCTGCACACGTAGAACAGAGAAACAAAACAAGCAACAACAACTGATCTTCCAAATTATTGTTCATAAACTGAGCAAGTGCTTCTGTACTAAAAGGCTCAAGCGTGAGAGAGGCAGATGAGATGCTCACCATACAGACAGTGGTCAGCACGCACCTGTCACCCTCTAAAGTTCTAGTAGGCTTTTTTTTTTTGCATTGAAAACAAAACAAAACAAAATGTCCGAAACACTTGTGTTAGGGTCCATTGAAGGCTGAACTTTTACACTGTCGTTCATTCTGCATCTTTTCCCTCATTTCTCAACAATCAAAAACTAGTCAGCAGGCAGTGATGATTCAAGGTCTAGTTTTACTCTTCATGGCCCCTACAACAGAGTGGGCTCACTTGTGTGCCACACTTTATTTTTACCGGACACAAAGATAAAGTATAGTTGCACCAGAGGAGACGATTCAAAAGGGAAATTGAACAACCAGTCTTCCAGTGTGTTTATAGCGCCCTAGTGGGTCGAAGTGGGTGGGGCAGATGGAATTATGTCGGGGTCGTGTCCCTTGTGGCTCTCAGTAATTCGAAAGTCTTTTTTTTTTGGGACCAGCCTTTTCCTCATGTTATTCAGGCGCTTGTGAAAATACGGCATAGTTTCACTGAAGTCTCTTAATGTGTTTCCTTAGTGTAATACGACCAGGCTGAGTTCTTCCCAGCATTCCTGCTCTCACCGCCAACTTCCTGTCACAATCTCAGTTGGTGGTTGACCACGCAGAAAAAAAAAAGAAGCACACACAGAGCAATGCACTACATTGTCACGTGCGACTGCAAATATAGATATTAGTACAGTGCATCACTTATCCTTGTTGCCTAAAATAAAACTACTGCAAGAGAAACAACGTGAATTATGATAAGTGATTCCTTCCGGTATATCTATACTTAGGTAAGAAAAAAAACAATAACAACAGAACACCCGCCCAATGCACAGATGAATTCACACCGCATTCAGGAGCAAGAAGCGTGCATGATATTTGCACAACACGGTTCACCTTAGTTCTCCCTGAACCACTTCTGCTGTTTCGTGGTGTGACTGTTTCGAGGTGAAGAGTTCATTTCTCAAGGCTTGCTTGGCTGTTGTTGCATAATGTCATGGAAGTATCCTCCAGTAATCCAGAGCTGAGGTATCGCTGGACAAAATGGAACTATTTCATAAACTTGAGTGGGGTATGTAATGTTTAGTGTAATCGAGCTTCACGCTGTTTGTATTCGAACATGCTGCTGTTGAGGTTGCTACTTGCACTTGGATCCAACCGTCTTGATATGTCTGTCTGCCTGCGCAGGGGAACTGTTCATGGAGGATGGCCGACTGAAAGAGGGCCAGTTTTGCATCGCCGAGGCGAGCTCACTCTTCCCCAACTCACACTCAGTGTTGCTGCAGAGGGGTCACCTAGCCGAGCTGCGGGGTCAACTGGATGAAGCTAAAAACCTCTACGATGAAGCTTTGGCCATCCACCCTACTGGGGAGCGAATACTGGTGCACATGGTGAGCAATGGCAAGAGCTATGCTGATGCAAAATTTTATGTGTTACCCGGATTTTTTTTTTTTTTTTTTTTTTTAGGAGGGGGCGGGGTTATGATTCTATTAAGCCCTCCTCCACATGGTTCCTACCCTTCTAAACACTTGTTAAACTTAATAAGTTTAAGTTTTAAAATGCAAAATGAAGAATAAAAACTGAGGCTGCAGGCTGCATTCATAAATTATTGTGAGCGGAGCATGCTCTGCTCTGCACGCCGGCAGCGGACGAGGATGACGGAACGTAGGTTAGTCTAAGGTACGATCCTGGTGGATTGACGCACCTTTTAAATCCTTGTTGTTGTAGTTTTTGTTGGGCAAAGCGAAAGTTAATCGCTATGACAGCCGTTGACTCTTCTTTTTTGTCGTGTTCTTTTCTCTTCTCTCTTCTAAAAGAACTGGGTTAAAAAATTAAATTAAAAAAAAAAAAGACGATGAAGAGGAAGCACTTCCGTCGGAAGTAGTCATGGCAAATAACTTTAGCTTTGCGCAATGAGAAGAATTTAAAAGGCGCATTAATTCACTGTGATTGTTCTTTTGGCTGCGATGCGATACAAAATTCTAGTTAAGCTGTTTTTAGAGAAAAACTTTAACATAGTTATTTGCCAACATTTTGTCATCCTCATTTGCGGTTGGAGGCGGAGTGTGCACCGCTCACAATTTCTTTTGATTGTACAAATCTTCACAGGCAAAACTCAAATCTGAAACTTATTCAGACATCCAGCATTATTGACTAGCTCGGTTCACAATATCCTCCTCTGACAATCTCACAATATTTTAATTAAATTCATTTTAAAAAAATTTATATATTCACATGCAAGAAGCAGCTTTTGTAAAGGGAGAATCAGGCATCTGAAAAAAAAAGTATGAAATTCCACAATTAGGCCAGTAGTGTTGTGCTGCATAATGAGATGTTGCATAACAATATGACCCAAAAATAAAATCTGTTTTTAACTGCGCACACCATCAACACTCCCCCTGCGCCAGTATTCCCCATTCCCCACACATTTCGGTTCAGCGTGTACATGACAACTAAAAGGATATTAATCTTCTATTTCTATTCATAAAAACAATCATGATAACAGTGAGCATAATAACTTGTTTGTGCTGAGGAGAAAATAGTGTGCAAATTCACATTTCTGATTTGCTTTTTTTTGGAGTTGAGGGAACTGCTTTTTACCTTCTGCCATCTGGTGATTTCCTCATCCTGATCACGAATGACGTGTTCAGCTCAGATCTTTACGATCTGCGTGAACATTCCGGTTCATTGGCTTCGATTCTGTCAGTGGACACGGGAAAGAGCAGATGCCACTTTTTGAGGTGATTATTGTGTGGATCAGTGCTAGATTGAACGGCACAGATCAGGATGAGTGCCGCATTCTGAAAACAAAAGACGGCTACCACCTGCCTATGCCTGAATCCTCGTTACCATGGAGGCACTTGCTGAAGATTTTAGAGAAGGTGGAGTTGTTTAACGCTGAGAATATGAGATTTAACTTTCTAACTATTTGTTTTAAAGATGCATCGATTTGGTTGAATTACAATATGCTGATATCCAATCCCAGGTTCGATTTTTAGGTCTAAAAAGTGTCCAGGGAAATCTGGACATCTGGTCATCACCTGACTGACAGATGAGACGCCAAAAAGCTGCATGCGGCTCTGTGTTGGCCACCCTTGAACAAGGAGACATTTTTAATTTTAACATGTCATCTATGGGATGTGTGTGTGTGTTTGTGTAATTCTAAATCCTTTTTTTTTTTTTTTTTTGTCAAGTACAAATAACTGTACGGCATTAATGTCATTTTTGATTAATCTGTTCTTTTTGTGGACTCAGAATATGGGTCACATTAGTGCTAATTAGCACACCATCAAGTGCAAATTTTTTCAATGCCTAGAAAGCTTTGAAACTCAAACTACCTCCAGTTCTTGACCAAAAAAAAAAAAGTGCATTTTCTAGTGACTTTCTCCTTTCTGATCATTTGGGCAACCCACGTTGTCTCGCTCGCTCTTGTTTTACCTGTCACCCAAACACACTTCCGCTCTCCAACGATCCGCTCCCGCCCACTCCCCAACAGTCTCTCTCTTTCTCTCTCTCTCTCCCCGACTGCCTTCCAAATGATCCATGATTAACCACTGTCCCTGTGACCTTTGAACTGTCTCTTCTATCCTGCTGAAGGGACTGGCGAGGGATGTTCCTGAAATCCAAAGACTTGTGCGCAATTGACACATTCACCCACTCACACACACACACACACACACACACACACACACACACACACACACGCCAGTCGTCTCCATAGTTACCATCGATGTGTTGGCTGATACCTCTTTGACTGGCTTTCTTGTGACCACATAAGGCTCGTGTGTTTGCTCTTATTGCGTACTTTAGTGTGTGCGCGTGTATATGCCAAAGTGTAGTCGCGTCTCTTCCATATTTGGCCTGTGCTAAAGCCAATCCCTAGAGGTGAAACGTTGAAAGGAAGCCAGCTGGCAGTGTCCCACGCTGTAACTCTCACAGGGCAGATGCGCCCTTTGTGAACTTGTGTGTGTCTGCGTGTGTGTGTGTGTGTGTGTGTGTGTGTGTGTGTGTGTGTGTGTGTGTGTGTGTGTGTGTGCGCGTGTGTGGATTTAGTCTCATGTTGTGGTGAGCACTGGTAAAACAAAAGAGCTCCTACCATGTCTCCCTTCATATTTTGGATTAGATGAGTGTGCTAAAGGGGATGCATCCTTGCTTGCTCAGTGGGACAGCGTGTGGGCCATTTCACTTGGAGATCTTCCTATATTTCTGGCTTGCATCAGCCTGCAAGAATACAACCCAGGCAGGTTTTCTCAGTGGCTCAGGCTCCCTACATGTATTTTTATACTGTATGTGCCGCTGACACTTTATGTGCCAGTGGCCCATTTATTCTGCTCTGCCTGGAGGGGGAACTCTGATTATTCTTGGTTGATGTTCTTGAGTTATTATTCTCCAAAAGTACATTCTGTTCTGCACTTTCCTTGAATATCCTCCAGACTTTGGTTATTAGGGTTGGAAATAAGATACCTTCCAGCTGTTGCTTGCGCCATTATACGAACATGATTTGTGGGTAGTCATCTTAATGAAAGTCAATCAGTCTTATCTGGACAAATTCTTCCCCAAAAAGTCTGAAATAAATGCATATTATTTCAAGCAATGATGATTTTTCCAAATCATTTGTGAAATGCAAGAAAACGTAGACGCTTTTGACTGAATCCTCGCAGACTTCTGCCCGACTGTCTTCGCACGTGGATCAAATTGCTGATACAAAAAAAGAGTGCACTGGGTTTTATTTTAATTGGGCACCGGAATTCACTACGCGTCGCTCTAGCTGCCCAAGAATTTCGTCAACGTTTTCTTTGCTTCATTACAGTAGACTTTTTCCTTGAACCAACCCTTAAAGCAGCGTTGTCAAACTCATTTCATATTGTGGGCCGCATACGGCCTCGGTCGATGTCAAGTGGGCCAGACCATTAAAATTATACCATACTCTGCTATAAATAACCAAAATATCATGTCTTTCCTTTGTTTTGATATAGCGAAGCACAAGAACATGAGGAAAATGTTGAAATGTACCTACATTTCATTTACCTAAAATTTCATAAAACACCTTAGATTTCCTTACACAAATGTTCAATTTACTTTTATTATTCAAATATATGCATTGCAACTGATCCCACTGATTGTACAAAGGCATAAAACTTGAACAAGTAATTAGTATTTAAAAATATAGTCATGCATTTTAAGATTAAACGAGATTTATAAAGAAAGGATTTTTTAAACCATGTACACATGTGCATATGAAATCTAAATGTAACCCCGCCTACACTTCACAAACTAAAGAGAAAACAGTGCGCCCCCTAGCGAATAATACACCAATTGCATATTATTAAAAATATTCATTCCATGTTTTTTTAATGCATTTTTTCATTTTTAAATTATACCGCGGGCCTGATCGAACCCCCTTGGGGGCCGGTTCCGGCCCGCGGGCCGTATGTTTGACACCCATGCCTTAAAGAAAAGTCACAGGGTGTGAAGTTGGGACTCTTGGCTAGCCACTCATATGGACCACGATGAAGGCCAGGGAAGTGACCTTTCAGCCATTCACTGATGACAATAGCAAAATGTGCAGGGGCACCATGCCTTGCATGGAAGTCAAATATTCAACAGTCTCCCAACACTGATAACTGGACAGATTTCTCAACATTCATGACATGGTGAAGAATGAATGGGAGAGTAATCCTGTCTTTGTTCAGCTCCATTCTCCATTTTTCAGAGATAATGAGGATCTTCTCCTGCCCGATAGCGCTGGTTGTTACAGTGTGAAATACTGCTTCTTCAGTCCCGACCGGACCTATCTTTTTGTCAAGCCAGCGTAATCACCGCTAACTCCACATGAATGTTGCTGTCTTCCACTGAGAGTGATTGCCACTAGTGCGGCAAAGCGAGCATCTCCTTTCAACTCCTTCTCGAGCACAGTTTGTGTGATGTGAAAGGAGAGTCAACTTGATTCGCTTGAGATTCATGTTTCCATTTCCACGGGCAGCTCCTTCTTCGAGTAGCAGCTCAATCTGATCATCTTTGTGTCAAGTGGAGCATGTAGCTTTGTGGTCTTCCACCGTTTTTGCACTTGAATGATGATTTCCGAAATTCGTACCTTTGCCACTCGCCGGGCATTCTCCTTGCAGGGTATGACGTTCAGCCATGTTCACAGGAATTCCGAATTTCAGACAAATATCATCCATTTGAAAACAATTGCAGATCAATACAAACACAAAGTTTAGAAATAAATTCCGATAAATAAATGCTCAATAAGTGGTTTAACCCTTTCAGGGTTACTACAGTGAACAGTCGATAAGAAGCACAAGAACATGAGGAAAATGTTGAAATGTACCTACATTTCATTTACCTAAAATTTCATAAAACACCTTAGATTTCCTTACACAAATGTTCA